TAAGAGCACAGATGGTGTAATGAGAGATTATTGTGATGGTTCACAATTTGAGAAAACCCCTCTTTTCCATGAAGATGAGAATGCCCTCCAAATTCACTGTTTTTATGATGATTTCGAGACTGTGAACCCCATTGGTTCAAAAACAAAAATTCACAAGATAGGTGCTTTATATTTCATTTTGAAAAATCTGCCACCAAAGTATAATTCCAATCTTTCCAATATCAATCTTATAGCTCTATGGTATGCTGAAGATGCCAAGAAATATGGATTTAATGCTATTCTCAAGCACATTGTAAAAGACATTAATATCCTGTCAACAGTTGGCATTGCTCTCCCTAATGGAATTGTGAAGAAGGGGACCATTACTCAAATAAGTGCTGATAATCTTGGTGCTAATTCCCTACTGGGATTTGTAGAGAGCTTTTCTGCTCATTATTACTGTCGATTATGTGTTACAAGTAAGGAAGAGGCACAGAACAAATTCAAAGAGGTTTCAATGGATATGCGCACCAGGCAGACTTATGAGCAACATTTAGAAGAAGCTGAAGCTCAAACTACCCAGTCACATGTGTTTGGAGTGAAACAAAAGACTGTATTGAATGATTGTATTTACTTTCATGTCTTGGCAAACTTTTCACTAGATATAATGCATGATCTTTTGGAAGGCATAGTTCAGTATGAGCTGAAACTTGTTCTAGAGTATTTCATATATGAAAGGCAACCGCCCCTCTTGTCCCAAGATGAACTGAATCAGAGAGTCGCCAGCCATTGCTTAAACCGTACAGATAACAAGAACAAACCATCCTTTATTAAACTTAGGTCAGCTAGGAATGATGTTGGACAGAAGGCTATGCAAGCATGGTGCTTGATTCGAAATCTGCCATTCATAATTGCTCAAGACATTGAAGAAGGAAATGTCTACTGGGAATTGCTACTTAGATTACTAGATTGTATGGACATTATTTTTGCTCCTCAATTGACAGCAGGCTTGATAGCCCAATTGTCTATTCTTACTGAAGAACATCACACACATTTCCAGAAAACCTTTCCTGACAGAAGGTTGTTGCCAAAACACCACTTTATGGTGCATTATCCAACGTGTTTGAGAGAAGTTGGGCCACTCATACATGTATGGTGTATGAGGTACGAAGCGAAACATCACTATTTTGGCCGTGTTGCAGAATCTGTGCGTAATTACAAAAACATTTGTAAATCACTTGCCAAAAAACATCAGACAGCACTAACGTTCCATCTTCAGTCAAACCATCCTTTGGAATATCTGGAGGTTGGGCCAGGTAGTTCACTACTTTTGTCAGATTTAGATGAAAATATTGGACAGATTGTGCAAGAGCAAATCCAAGTAGAGGATCTTTCTACTGAATTATTTGATGCCAACTGGGTTAAAGTACATGGAACACATTATCAGTTGTCACTTCTGGTCTGCCATGATGTTAGCGAGCTTCCTCTGTTTGGTCAAATAGAGCATATCATTGTACACAATAGCACTGTATTTTTTGTACTTGTCCAATTAGATACAGTGTATTACAATTCACACTATCATGCCTATGCAGTAGAATTTAGTTTTCCACGTTGTCATGTAGTGAAGAATCAAAAGGAACTTGTTGACTACAAACCACTAGATTTGATGACAACTTTGTCGAAGACAGACTCGAGGAAGTATGTAGCACCAAGGCATGTACTTTTTAAGTAATTTAAAGCTTTCAAGCTAATGTCTGGTTTTGCTTAGTGGTATCAATTGGTTTTAAAAATAATTTTGATCAATAATATTTTGGACTCTTAATTGTTAACATCTTTAAATTGGTTAATTCGAAACCAAATTGAAGTCAAATAGCTGTTGTATATTTTCTTTTTTTTTCTTACAAGAAAAACAATTCTATGATGTTTGTGCATGAAAGCCAGTGAACTAGAAGTGCATGGACTGATTTTTGTTGTTGTTGTTTATATCCTGTTGGAAAAACGAGCAGCGAATTAGTTGATATAGAAATGCATAATTTTACTTTTTGATTTTTTCTCCCAGGAGTAAAATGGGAAATACATGTTTGTAAACAGAAAGCTGTAAAAGAATGTTCACCTATATTAGAATGAATGTGGAATTTATAGTGTTTTTTTAATGTTTTTGAAACATTTGTTTAACCCTTTACAAGCAGTGAAGGAGATAAAAATCCCCTGAAATAATTAAATCATCCTGAATCTCAATGGTTGCAGGCCTGTGGTAAAAAAAAATCTTGTTAAACAAAACTGCTGGATAAGATTTGTTAGTTTTGCTATTGTTCTTGAAGGCTGCTTCCTAGCATAAGACATTAAAAAGCCTTACTATAATTAGTCTGCGAGCACAGACCATTGGCTTCGGTTTTGCAATTTGCATAGTGCACGATGTAAAATGGAATATGTTTGTAAACAGAAAGCTGTAAAAGAATGTTCACCTATATTAGAATGAATGTAGAATTTATAGTGTTTTTTCAATGTTTTTGAAACATTTGTTTAACCCTTTACAAGCAGTGAAGCTAGGAGATAAAAATCCCCTGAAATAATTAAATCATCCTGAATCTCAATGGTTGCAGGCCTGTGGTAAAAAAATCTTGTTCAACAAAACTGCTGGATGAGATTTGTTAGTGTTGCTATTGTTCTAGCATAAGAAATTAAAGTCATACTATAATTAGTCTGCGGGCACAGACCATTGGCTTCGGTTTTGCAATTTGCATAGTGCACGATGTAGAGTCTGCATTTAGAGACTACATATACACATACAGTTATGCTCCCTTTAAGGGATCATGATATGAGTGAAAGTAGTCTCTGACTGCAGACTCTGAAATATGCACTACGAAACTTGCGAAAAACCGAAGCCGAGAGTCTGCCTGCAGATTATACTAGCAGTTTCCAAGGTTTTTTTTTTTGGGGGGGGGGGCACTCTGTATATTTCATATGAAAAAGATTCTGTGATATTTTCCTTCAGCATGCATGTACTAGGATTCAAGGTGAAATGTGTCAAAATTCTTATTAGCTACATAATTCACTCTGATGTAGAAGCATAATGTTTGTTGTTTTTTTTGTTTTGTCTTCATTTATACATGCATTTTGCATCCTGTTTAGTTTCTATTTATTAGAAACGACTTTGATTTTTCATTCCTTGAAAGGAATTATGACATTGTTTAAAGTTTTTATATTGGAAAATTTTTAGTTACTTGTTTCATCCTTTTTTTTTTTTACTTATAAGGGTGGATTCATAATAACAGATTTTGAATGATTTTTAGTTACTTGTTTCATCCTTTTTTTTTTACTTATAAGGGTGGATTCATAATAACAGATTTTGAATGATTTAAAAAAGTGTGTTTTGTTGTATTCAGACAAATGAGTCACAGATTTTGAATACATGACAAAAGGATTTAATGTTCAACCATACAAGATAAAAACGCTAAGCATCATTGATTTCAACATGAATGAAAACAAGTTGTTTAATTTATTGATTAAACAAGCACCATGTGTTTTTGTTTACGAAAAAAAATTGTTTCTTTTCACTTCTTGTGTGTATTTGAATATTTTCTGTGCATGTGTTAAGATGGAGTGAGCTGGAATGAATTGTTGGTGTTGAAAGAATGGTGTGTTGAGTTTTTTAAACACTGAGACTAGCATTGAATTGCAATACCAAGAGTAGAAAAGTAGTAGACCTTTAGTGTTATATAACACCAAAAATAGGATTTATTGCAACACCGAAGAATGGTGCTGGATTTTATATTAACACCATAAATAGAATTGGATTGCAACACCAAGAGCAGAATTATACTATTTAATTCTAGAATTGGTGTAAAATAACACCAACAATAGAATTGAAGTGCAACACCAAGAGTAGAATTAAAATTATTTCATTCCAGGCGGTGGTGTTAAATAACACCAGAAATCAGATTCATTGTTACACCAGAAAATGGTGTAGGATTTTATATTAACACCAAAAATAGAATTGAATTGCAACACCAAGAGTAGAATTGAATCATTCAAATCCAGACCTTGGTGTTAAATAACACCAACTGGTGTTTTCCGATATAGATACCGGAATGGTGTTAATATTAACACCTATGGTGTTGAATTTAACACCACTGTTTTTGCAGTGTACTAACATATTAATATGATTGCAGCTGAAATTCTTCCCGAACATATTTCCGTTACTTCCAGCCAGCATATATCATTCATCCCTAATGTGCCAGCATTTAGAAAGTGGGTAAATGAACTGAAACCAAAGACTGTAAACAGAAATTAAATATGAAAGATGAACATTTTTACTTTGCAAAAACACAAGGTTCCACAAAGTGAAGATAACACAACAAACATAGATATGTGCCACGTGACATCATGTTTGTTCCATAAGGATGTGAGAGTGTTTGCATGAGTAGAAATCTGTCAACATAAGTAATACGGAATGATTATATGCCCAAGAGATCCACAACTGGAACAAATCACAGGAAAATTCTCTGCTCATGAAAATTGCATGAAATTTGATATCCAAACACAATTTCTTTATATCATTTTCACTAAAAAGATAAAGAATGAAATATAGATATCAATATTTTGCATGTACCACATATTATGCACACCGCAAAATTACGTGCCTCCATGCCCCTTTCCTGGTAAAAAAAGAAGTCATCTTCTAATAATATCATCCCGCCCTTTCTTTCTTTTCCCTTCTCATTATTCTCATTTTCCCCCTTTTTCCTCCGTCTTTCCTCCTTTTCCGCCTTTTCTCTCCTCTCTCTCTCTCTTCCCCTTTCTTCCTTTCCCCTCCTTTTTTTCCTCACTCCCCTTTTCTCTCTTCCCTCTCTTCTTTCTTTTTCTCCTCCGTTTTTCTTTCCCCCTCCTTTTTCTCCTTTCCTCCCTTTCCTTTTCCCCCTTCCCCATGCTGAATACCTGGCATATAATGTAGAACGCAGAGGGCGACATAGCAATATCAATCAATTATGATAATTATTCTTCTTCTCTCTATCTCTCTCTCCCCCTAGAAACGCACATACACAAGCTGTACAATCAAATCGCGTTGTTATGTTCCCATCAATCGATTGATCTAATAATGGAACAAGTGAAGTGAACGAAAAAAAAACCTAAGAGGATTGGTTTACTGGAATATACACATCGAGAATCATACTACGTTCATTTTCCGTGAGTATTTAGTTTATATTTTGTGAATTATATCAGTGAATTGATTGCAATCAAGCGCAATTGCAAGCAGCTAGCAGTAGCAGGAAATTAAAGATCCACCTGCCGCATAGTTTGGCTATCCGTTAGACCGCAATGGCAGGGTCAACCGCCCTAAGTCATCGGCGTAGCTGCAGCAGCTGGACGTGGTCACATGCAAATGCCAATGATGATTGGTGTTGTGCATTAATTGTGCCTGTGCTGTGTAAATGAATTATGCTTACTTGCCAACGTGTACATGAAGCTGTATAGAATGAAATAGACACTCAAATTTACCTTGAAATGCAATGTAAACTGGGGCCCGTTCCTACAAACCGTCATAAGTCTAACTTCTTGACTAAATCAGCGTTAGTGAACAACTTGTCCTCTACGTGTTTCACCAAGCCCTCTTTGCCAAGATCAACGACAACATCCTGACTAAGGAGTTATGACACCTCTGACACCGTCGTATCTCTGTCATAACTATTTAGTCGATGGGCAGCGCCATCACAAGTCATTTATTGGGTAGACTATGACTGGCAAAAAAGGACAATAAATCCTCCAACTATGATTTTTCTACACATTCACTTAAACAGTGAATTATCGTTTTTTGTATTTGATAATCTCATGAAAATATGCCATGTTTGTATTTAAGGATTTTTCCACTTAAATAAACTGATTATACGCCTTTATTTCCACATTGTAAACTCGTCGAAGGGATATGTATTTTGCCACGGCAGGCAAGCCATAGTTTGAAGTGTATTCTTTAGTTTTCAGACCCATATTAATTTCGAGATGAATTCTATTTTCAATTATGTAAAGTGAATGGTTTAAACATATGTTTTAACCTTTGAAATATTGAAGTTTTGTAATTTTTATATTGTGCTGATGCCAAAAACATTGAACACAAATTTCATTACATCGTATTTTTTCAAAGAATAATATAAGGGTATATTTTTATAAACTATCAAATGAAAATATTCGGGGGGTGCCCATCTCAACAACAAAACTGATTCACTGGTCATGTAATGAAAAACTCACAATTATAGTTTACAAGTACTTCAATTGTTTAATCTACACAAATTTGGAAGTATATTGGATCTCTTATTTCTTGGTATCATTTTCAATCTTTTTTATTACTAATTTATTTAAATAATTGCATTTTCCCTAATATTAATTTTGTAATAATCTGGTGGGATTGCGACTAAGGCTAATTCTCGGCTCCTCTTCTCGCCGATAATATCGATCTCACGAGATACTAGCTAGTAAGCTCTTCGTGAAACGGTTTAGGAAGATCAGAGACATCTCCGTAGTTGGCGGATAAAGTTATGACTGTCTTGTCGTTGGTTTCTAGGAACGAGCCCCAGTAGTCTATCTGTAATGTTTGGAATTAGAAACTCAAACTGTAGTTCTGTACCCTCTCATTTCAACGTTTTCCATGTTCTAATTCTGATGATAATGAATGAAATTATATCTGATGCCGGGTGTGTCTGCATGGATGCTTATCCTAATTAAAGTCTACTAGAAAATAGTTATTTAGTCTACCGGTATGTGATATATTCATTATCATGACATAGTGCACACTAGACAGCAATAACCATCTGATTTGGGTCATTTCTTTAATAAAACTGACATTTGTTGTCATTCCCCAATACAGATGGCAACCCAGAGATCTCGTACCGTGGGGGTAGCTATAGCCAACAATGGCAGCTTTTTGTGTCAAAACATTTTCTCCCCGATTTTCTTTATTTAGATCTAATTTTCTGATTTCTAAATCAGATGTAAATTAGGTCGGTATGTCATTTGTCCTAATTACAGTTATCAAAATTTGATAACTTAATATTAAATGTATAATTTACGGACTTACTTATATGAATTATCCAATTTGTATTTCCGAACTGTGAAACGGTACGTTCATGCATTCGAAATATTACCCGGCGGCCGATATATTTCCGGGTCCACCTACCAAAACATAGCCAAATGGCCAATCAGAGCACTCGTTTTGTGGGAGTTCGTTGGTCAAGCTGGGCCGACTCGTACGTAGCTACGGTAGCTATTGGACGTTCGAAAAGAAAAAATGAATATTCATCAACTAAAACCAAAACGGATAATGTTGACGACGAGACTTTCTCGGATTAATCATTAATTTAGGATCTAAATGAGCAAGCTATCGTAAGTCAAATAAGCTATATATATGTTATTTTTAATTTGTGTTGTAATTCCAGCAGTTATGAGGATGTAAAGAGTGAAAATCTCGTTGCATATCTCATTCATCGCGGTCCGGTCGAACCGAACCATTTGTTCCGTACAGTGCCTCACAGAAAGAGGTCCCCAGACTTCAGTCTCTGTAATCGGAGGTCTAGTGGAGCCAGACGTAGTCTCAGTGGAACAACCGACGATTAGAGAGACTGAAGTTTTCGGTCTAAGTGCACACTAGATGTGTTTGACAAGGACTGAAGGAGACGAGACGACATGGGCAGTAACAGTAAGAAGGAGAAATTATTTTTTTAACATCCCTGAAAAATATTACCTTCATTCATTTTCCAGGTCAACTAGACAGACCCATTTTCCTGATGATACTCACCGAGTCTGTTGTTCTCTAGACCTTTGCTATCATTGTCTGCAACAAAACTTTGAGATATGGTGAAAGGTTTCCTGCGGAGTCCCGAGGGGCTCTTTCAGTTATCACCGAGCGTCACATTAGTCGGACGAGAGAATTGTGACTTAAACATCCAGGTAAGAGAAATTTATCTTTATCTTATCTAATCTAAGGAGGGTTCCATGGAGTGTGTCCTGTTTGACTTTTCCATTTACTATCATCTGGAAATTTAAACTCTCTTGATACTTCCATTGAATAATATTATTAATTCTGGAAAGATGTAACATTAGAAAGATGCATTTAATAGTCAGTGGTGTTATCAAGAGAATTTTATTTTTTGGATTTAAAAAATGAATAAAAGTCACATGTTGTAAGGGACACAATTAAAGCACACTGTCTAATCATCCAAAAAGAGAAATCTTGCCATCAATATTTTCCTTCAAAGAAGAAATCACTTGTGAAGATACTTTTAATGGATCAGTTTCTGGTATTATCAAAAGAGGGGGGGGGGGGGTGAGGGCAGGTTGACTATGTAATTGTTTGAAAAATCATTGCCACTAAATTGAGACACAGTCAGATACAAGTGGTAGATTGAGTCAATGTACGAGTAGGATTTTTTCCCCCCTTGCATTTATATGTAATCATGGTTATTTTCCAATAATTCTGTCCAACTTTTATTTTTTTGGAGGAAAAAGTATTGCTTTTTTTAAATATACAGGGTATACAGTATAATGATATTTTCAGAGCCATTCTTTGGCTTCTTCTTAAAATCTGCTGTATCTTCTTAGAACTTGTGCTTATCAGCAAGAATATTTACTCACTTGTTTTCTCTTTCACCCCCTTCTACATTGCAGCTATCGTCAATAGAATTACAGCACGCTGTTATTGAGTACAGTGATTCAGAAAGCTGTTTCGTGATCCAGGACCTGAACACTGCGCATGGAACGTACGTCAACGACTGCCGCGTTCAGAACGCTGCCGTGAGGTTGGCTCCGGGAGACAGCATCAGGTTCGGCTACACAGGATTCCCGCATGAATTGGAGGTGGAAGATGACCAGGTAATTTGTTTTGTTTTGTGGATAACATGAAGGCTGTTTGGATGCTTTTCGATAAGCCAGCAATGTGTATCATATAAAAAACCAAGTTGTGTCAAAGAAGTTAGTCATTTGGGATTATAATTAAACTCAGTATTTATATGAGACATGCTTGCAGGGCTCTCTGGGATAACAATGAGGCTACTCTGGGTAAACAAGAAATATTTTCATTACTATCATTATTATTATTATGATTATTACCCCTTTTTCTGAGGTTTTAGCAGCTGTTGCTTATTTTAATTTATAGTATTTTGCTTGTACAATTTATTATTTGAATTGTTTATGTAATTAATGTTAAATAGATTTCCATGTTCCTATCCTCGTAAATATGTTTTTAATAAGATGAAATTAGATAAACTGAACTGAACCCTTTCCATTGTCTAAGAAGGAGCATACCGGAATTATATTTCATGTTTTAGTGTCATTTTTATTTCAGAGTCAGTTTCATTTCAGAATTAACATGAATATTTTCTTTGATTCATTAGGTATCTTACCCACCTGTTGGTAATAGGGGTGGAGCCAGGATGATGCAAGAGAGTGCACCCCTCAACGACTATTCCCAGGCCCAGCTCCCATACCTCAACAACCATGCAGGGGGCGACGCCCCTTACGGCCAACCCCAACAGTCCACCCTCCCTTCCCTGGGAGGGGGCTCATCAGCTGCCCCACCCCCAGCAGTATGGGGGACCCCGCCCACAGGTGTCAGTGGGGGTGGGGTGATACCGAGACCCCCCAGAGCCAGGCCGACGAGCGCGGGTAACAGGAGGGGGAGCGGAAGTGGACCAGGGACTGGGAGCGGGGTCCATATCGCTAGTCAGAGCCCTACAAACAGCCCCCTCCCACCAAGACGAGGTAAGTCATGATTTAGATTAACATGGGGTGTGCCTCGTAGAAGTTAAAATAATGAGTCTTGTAATAACTTAAAGTGACTTGGTAACATTGCCACAGATTCTGAAACAAAATCCTAGATTTAGCTCATGCTGCAATCATATTTATAAACCTTTAGGTCAGTCAGGAATCCCATGACTTTTACAAACCGGTCGCCGTCTGATTATTAAGATATTTATGATTGAAAATCAAAAATAAAATTATGCGTTTTCTTAACGGTTTTTATAACACTAAAGTCTATTGGAGAAAATGAGTATGGTAAAACTGGTCCCTCAAAGGTTTTTACTTTTTTGAAGCGCAATTTTGTTTAGGGCTTCAATATTACACCATATTACAGACGCTGATAACACGTAGGGCCGTGCATCTCAGATTTAACATTGTTAAACGATCCCTTTAAGGAATGAAGCATCGCTCATTATTCACTCAATTTATTGTATTTTTATACAGAGGAAATCAAAAGATTTTCAAAGGATCATATAGCCTATCAACATTAAAACTTTTGGACGTTCCTTTAACCCTATTTTAACTGGGCTATTTCAGACCAGGTTTTTACTGGGGGGGGGTCAATTTGACCCCCCCCCTAAGATCTCGGCCGTTTCACCGCCGATCGCCGCGAAAATTTGCATATACGTCAAGTGAAGTGTAAAGAATACTATGGTAATTTCAAATTTTTTAAAAATTCACTCATTTGCATATTTATGGTAATTTATGCAAATAAGGTCATCAAATTCACATTTCTGCCCATAAATCATAGATTATTCATGTTTACATATTCTTTTTCACTACATATATTTATTAGACCATTTGGAATAATAATACGACACAAAAAATTGGAAGAGCCAGGTTATTCCTTATGTTATCTCTTGTTTTTATAATTTCTTATGTATTTTATTGTTTTTTTAACTTATGTATTTTATTGTTTTTGTTGTTTTATTTCATTTATAACTACAATTCAACAATTTTGACCCCAAAACAAACATCTAAACTTCAAACAAGACTGAATAACCAATGTTTTATCTATTTTTAGGAAAAATGACTTTTACATATGTTTTGTACACAAATCACGAAAATGAGCGATTTTCGGGGTGACATGCAAAGACAAAAGGTCACGTGACCTTGTAACCGTAGGTCCGATTTTCAAAAAAATCGTTTTAAAAGATGCGTAAGACTCGAAAGTAAAAAGTCATGAAAGGAAAATTTTATATCTGCCGCGGTTTCGGAGTAGTCGCGAAATTTCTACAGGGGGGGGTCAAATTGACCCCCCCCCAGTTAACATAGGGTTAAAGGGATCCGGTAACTTTGTCTCAGATTCTGAAACAAAATTCTGGATTTAGCTCATGATACAATGATAATTACAAACCTTAAGGTCAGTCAGGAACCCCATGACTTTTACAAGCCGATCGCCTGTCTGATTATCAAGATATTTATGATTGGAATTACAAATTTTGAAAACCGTTCGCCTGACGGTTTTCATAACACTACAGTCTATTGGGGCAAACGAGTATGGTGAAACCGGTCACTCAAAGATTTTTACTTTTTTGAGGCACTTCTTGATCATTTTGAAGCGCAATTTTTTTAGGGCTTCAATATTACACCATATCACAGACACTGATAACATGTAGGGCCATGTATCTCAGATTTAACATTGTTAAACGATCCCTTTAAGTGACATTCTTTGTTTTCATTTATTCTTTGCAGCCGTGACGGGAGGATGGGTCGGTTCAAGTGGAGCTCGAGGTGTAACGTCCACTCAGCAGGTCAATGGCAGCCCTAACACCAGAGCTTCACCGGTCAATGACATGTTGGCTGCTCATGAAAAGGTCAGTCAAAAGTCTTTGTCATACAAAAGTGTGGGATACAAGTCATTGTAGTCTTCTGGCCTACTCTGGCATGTTGCATTCATCTTCATCTATACTGCTTCATTAGTATTTCAACTTGCAATGTCTTGAAGTAATATTCAAAGCTGATATTTTTTGGGTAAAGGATACCAGTATGTAACCCCACACACATTGAGAGGAAAAACTATAGTCAACATTACAGTGTAAATGATTTTGACATCCATCCCAAAATAATGCCTGGAACTCTGTGTGGTCATTATTTGGGTTCAATTGCAATGTAGGTTTTGTTGAAGTGTTAATAAAAAGCGTTGGTGTAAATGATTACGATGATTTTGACATCCATCACAAGATCTGCTAATGTTTGAAGACCTTCATCACAACTCCTGGGGGGGGGGGGGGGGGAGTGTTTCACAAAGATCCTAAGTTGAACTTAACAATTATAGAAAGCTGTTAGCATCTATGAAAATATTTTGTAAAAGTTGTGTCAAAAATACTTGAATTTTCACCTCTGAATATATTTTATTTTGAGGCTACAAATGACTCTCCATAATTGTTAAGTCCAACTTAGAGTTAAGTTAAGACTTAGGATCTTTGTGAAACACCCCCCCCCCCGGCCCCCCCCCCCGAGGACGAATCACATTTCCCACTATGTCCTCATGCTTTTCTCTCCTTTACTCCACAGGACCAGAGACTGCTCCGAATGGGTGACGAACTCAACCGACTGGCCGTCTTCGAGGCCGAGTCCCAGCGGAAGGACGGGGTCATCGGTCAGCTGCGGTCAGACATGGAATCCTTGGCCATGCAGTCACACCAGGCCCAGCAGCAGCAGAAACCTCCGCCGGTAGCCGATACCACGGTCCAGAAGAGACTCAAGGAGCTGGAGAAAGATGTCAATCTGAAGCAGCTTGAGGTCAATGCACTGAAGGAAAAGGTCAGTAGGTCATCTATAATGAACTGGTTGCATATGACTTATAATCATAATGAGAATGAGAACTGTTTTATTGGTTCATGTTGTGAAGGTATTGTTTCTGAGAGAAATTCTCATTAGCATAAAGTCTGTGAGCTACACAAATTTGTATGTTTTCTACATATATTCATTTATCTGTTGTTTACTGTAATGGTCGTAGAATTATGGAAAACTCAAGGAAACATGTCAAGATATCAGATCAGAAGGGGAATGAGAGGGGGGGGGGGCGGCTCAAGACTTTGCAGTATAAACTGTGGCAATGCCAAGATAATCAGAGCAAAGAAATACCACCAGGGGCTTGTAACATAAAAGTTTACCTACAATCAGTTGAAAAATCAATTGTATCTCCATTCTCACTACAATTTATTGTATATTACATGTACATTGAATTGTATCTTCCTGTAACATCAAATTGACTGTGTGTTACTGCTGATTGTACAGATATGATTGATTGAAAGAGGTAGAACTACTTTTTATGAGATACAATCGATTGTAACTCGTAAATGAAACAGTGCCCTTATGATATGACCTTACTTTTCAGAAGAAAATGAAACTATATAAACTCAAGATAGCTCCTTAGTTTTCTAGCGAGAAAAAATGATGTGAATGCTTGAGCACCTTGTCATTGTAGCATGGCTAATTTAGGCCGGGGTAATGATATGATTGAAGGGCCCTCTGGGGGAGCAGTGTTGATATTGATGAGGCTGCCCTGGGTAAACAAGACAGCAATCCTTCTTTGTTTCTTTGTTTCTTTCTTCTTCTTCCTGTTCTTCTCCTTGCCCTCCATCTTCTTAAGATTTATCATCATCATTATCAGGCCTAAAAAAAGAAAAGAAGATTTATTGCCCTTTAGGTGCTAAAACATGGGTCGGTCGGTCAGAAATCTTTTTTTTTTAATGTTAAAACTTCCTCTTTGGGCTGATGTTTTTTTAATACATTCTTTTCTCAAAAAACGGTTTAAATTTTTTTAAAGCCCACCGTCAATTTCAAAATTGTTGGGTCAGTCGCAAAGGGCAATGCAACATCTTTTTTTAAAGGCCTCATCATTATAATTATTGTAATCATGATAATCATTATCATTATCATCATCATTATCGTTATTATCATCATCGTTGTTACAACAGATGTCCAAGATGAGGATGGAGAGCACCGATCCCATGGAGAACATCGCCCACCTGCGCTCCCTGCTCCACCAGCGGGAGCGGGAGCTGGTCTCCCTGCGCCAGGAGGTGGACAAGATCCGCAAGGAGAAGGGCACCAGCTCCGCCCTCATGACCAAGCTCCAGCGGGACCTCACCACCAAGGAGGGCAGCATCTCCAGGATGAGGGGCGAGGTGGAGCTCCTCAAGAAGGAGCTGAGGGAAAAGGAGGTGGCCATCTCGGCGCTGGCTGCCAAGTTCTCCCGCATGAGGGAGACCAAGAAGCACGAGGAGGAGCTGGCGGCCAGGAACAAGGAGGTGGTCACACTCAAACACGTAAGAATACTCTTTAACCCTTTCATTTTATTCATCTAATTCAAAACTTGAAAGTACATCCTCATGTACTGGTAGAGTATAGTGAATGAGAATGTGTTAGCTGTCACACTTGAACATGTGAGGACACTTTTAACCCTTTTATTTTATTCATCTAATTCAAAACTCAAAAGTACATCCTCATGGAGTTAAGAGTGGTGAATGAGAATGTGTGAGCTGTCTAACTTAAACATGGAAGGACACTTTCATTCTTATTCCAAGTATACTGTACATTCACATTTGCATTAACTTTTTACCCTTGCAAAATTATGTTGAATATCTGTGTGGTATTGATGCTGAAATGTCTGCTTATGTGATTTCATTATCACATGAAATTGGAAATGCACACATGTACCTGTATAAATTTGAGTTTTGTTATCAAACTCATTGGAATTAGATGATACTAAGCTACAGTAAATTTTAAATCGACTAAATTTCAATCGTCTCCAAATAAAAATGTGTTGTAATAGAGGAAGGGTCTACAGACATTTAGTTATATTCACACTGATTTTTATCCATTTGATTGTTTTCTCTGCTATATTTGTTTTAATCATTCCTTCTCTCTTCATTATTCATCTTGTGTTCCTTCTATCTGTCTATCATTGCTTGAATGGAGTGTAGTCTCAGCTCGAGACTGCCTTAGAATCGTATCAGAAAACACTGTTTGCGCGAGACACTGAATACTTCAGCTTAAAGACTGTAAGTTAATAAACATGTCCCGAAGCATCATGTCAAAGATCCCAAACAGTCACACACTTGCATCATCAGTGATTTCAAGTATGATATTATTCCCAGGGAATCTATTCAGGGCCTGTAGTCCAAGTCTTTACGGGCCTGGTCCTAGCCCACGTCCCATGGTCCTTGTCCGTACATTAAAGAAGACAGCAACTAACCAGTCTTTGAAAATGAACGACATGTTGGAATTCTTCAAAGTCCAGTCTTTTCCAAAAGGATGTTTACTTAAAACCATGTATCAGCTCATATTTGCTGTGACATTTCATTACCCAAGTCCCAAATCTTCATAATAGTCTTGAGTTTAAGATTCAGAGTAGAAGACTCCTATTTATATACCACTCAAAGTGAAGAACTTTTTGAGCTTTAAAACAAAAAATTGTACCAAATTTGCAAAAGTAGCACACATATTTCTAGAGATGTTACCACTTTTATTATTTTTGGGGTAGTGAATATTTTTACCTTGGAATTGTCCAGATGAGTCTTATTGAAAATTTATTCTCGATATCTGGGGTTTTGCTCAGGGTATTAAAATGTATGCTACACACCCCAAATCTAAAGGAAAATTTCTTGAGGTGTTTGATACGTGATAGCAATGTCACAACTATCCTAGTCCTACACAATTACAGTATTCCATACCATACTTGAAATCATTGAATGATTAATGTTAGTTCACCAAAACTGCATGCTGCATATTGTTCAATCCATGTCATAGCATAGTCAAAATTACCTGTAGTATACATGTATATATATTCTTGTCAAAGCTGATTTGTATACTTTTTCATAGCCTTCATAGATTTCCCTTTAAAATGCATCTGTCTCTGCATCATGTCAACATAATTTACAATAACAAAGTATATATATACATGTTAGATATCACATATCTCATGTGTTAGTTCACTTGTACAACAGGTTTTGATTTTCAAAAAGATATATGCAACATTATGATTGCCATAGTAGAAAGCACAGTTCATTCACACTAAATCCTGTTAAACTTGGCATGAAGATATTGTTGATAAAACCGTTATACTTTGCTGTTTTTCAAAACCAGCAATAATTGTGAAAGGCCTTTTGTCACTAAACCGTTGTATTGTTGAATTTTAGTCTGAAAAAATGGAATTAATCTTTATACTGGTAGAGTTTTCAAAAACTTCTATAAATGTTTACAATGATATACTTTACTCTACCATATGGCAAAAGCATGAATCATTTTGATTTTAAACAGGGCCCATTGCACTAAACTAATACCATTGATGGTAACTTTGCTATCAATGATAACTACCATGGAAAACTTGATTTTGATTGGCTGTTGAGCCCTGTTACCATGGTAGTTGCTATTGATGGCAAAGTTACCATCATTTGTGAGTTTTATGCAACGGGCCCTGAATGATGACTTTTTTCATTTTAAGCTTCACACCAACTTCCTTTGCCTGAAACTCTCTATTATCTTCTATATTAAATAATAATACAAATACATTTATGCAAAATTGAACCATACAAGAGACTTTCAAAAAATGTAAACGCTTTCTTGAATCTAGTGTCTCATCCAGTAGCAACAAACAGTTAGGTTGTTAAGGAATTAGATCTATAAGCCTCTGCTTTGTTTGAGAATCGGCTGGGTAAATACAAGACAATAGAGGGCTGGTAAACAAACCCATTTTGTAGTCTGTAGACTAAAGCACTTGTGAACTTTATAAGGCATGACTTTTGAATGTCTACTTGGTATTTTGTTTGAATTAAAAGCATCAAAGGGGTAGATAATGAAAGGAAATCAAAAGTTTTTTTTGTTTGTGCATGTTTAGCAGGTCTGTGATGTATTAGAGTGTAGAGTGGAATTTGGTTGTAGAAAAATGCTCTCACTAAGGAATTTTCACTGTATATACCGGCCAGCATATACAATTATAAATCGTTATTGTTTTAGTATTCACAGCAATTTAAATATTCCCTTTCCTTTTCCTTTCATTGGATTATATATCTAAACAAAAATGTATTTATGGTTGACTCATCATTTGTATACTCTGGTGATATTCAGTTTATTTGATAAGGTTCACAAATAATTTTAGCGAAAAAGCAATTCTATTCGAATTTTTAAATGAATTAAGTTTTGTTATCTAAAGAGAAATTGCCAAGTTACAGACTGTACTCAATTTAAATTTATTGCATTTTGTAAATGATTTTGTAATCCTGTATGGTAATTGATGTTTTTATATGCATGCAATTTAGAGAGTACAGTATGCTTGGTGAAAGTGGTACTCACGCTTCACTGGTTTTGCAAGTAGGCATCAAATCAGGTGGAATTATTTCATAGACCATGTACATGTACATGATAAAGTCATATTTCATTGTGTAATCTGTTTGTTTTCCTTTTTTCTGTTGGTCTAAATGGTGTATTTGTGTTGTTCCCATTGCCTTGTTTTCATTATCTCTTAGAGTAGATGTGTGTCTCATGTATTTTAGTTGTCTCGTTTGTCAAGTCATGCGTTCATGAAATACTGTGATATATATTAAACAAAAAAATATTGAGGATTTGTATTGTAGAGTAGATAGTTTTTAATATATATATAGTAAAATAGCTCATGCCCTTATTTTTTCTTTCTTCAGGTGTCATATGGATTCCTTATTTTTCTTCCATTAAAAAAAAAAATTATGATAATTTTCATTTTCTTAAAAACATGGCCTACATTGTTGTACATGAATAGTGCCACATTTCATATCTTGCATATTTGGTGATAGAAATTTCTGGCATGCCTTTTAATAAGTAGATTGTGGGAGTGTTGTGGTCGAGTGATTTAAGGCGCTTGACTTGGAGATGCGAAGGTCAAGGGTTCGAATCCCGACATGGCACTAATATCCTTTGACAAGATATTAACCTGCAATTGCTACTCTCCACCCAGGTGTTAAATGGGTACCCGGTAGGATGCGACCGTCATTGTTGGTCAAACAGTTTTGAGCGTCATGTAACGCCTGGCTGGAATGCTCCCCAGTGAGTGGAGATCGTGCACACATTGTGTGCGGGCAAAGCACTGAATCCAATGACCGGGGTAATAGTATATTTGTAAAGCGCTAAGAGACATTTGTATTATGCGCTATATAAAAAATAAATATTATTATTATTATAAGATGTGTCTAAAGCCTAGTGTTTTGAAGATTATTTCAGTGTTTTAGTAAAAAAAAAGAAAATGTATTTCTTGCTTTAATCATTTCGTTCTTTTTAAAGTCTCACTGAAATTATTGTAGATTAGTTTTCTATGATTCAACACTTTCATCTCATTGTGTATTCCTATATATGTACATGTGTCTTTAATCATGCAAACATTTTGTACATTGAAATCAATTAGATCAACTCATTATTTTATATAGCAATAAGCGTATATAATATTTAGTAGAACATGATACCAATGCAAATTGTGTAATTTTCATCCAAATTCTGAAACGTTTAAACCCTTTCAGTAGTAATGCTATTATTAGACGCAGCAGATAAAAAAGACATTATCTGTTAATGGCAAGATTAAACCATGATTAGGTGTCAAAGATGGGCTAGCATACTCGAGAGACAATGGTTGGCAAAGTCAATTTGTTGAGAGTGATTGACACCATGATAAGAAAACACTTCATAATGTTTCAGTACATGAACTTTGATGAACTTTGTATTTTCAATTGCTTTCTTGATATTTCTTCAGAAATTGAAAGGTGCCGAGAGCAAAGTGGAGGCACTCACGAAACAGACGGCTGAACAGAAAGAGGAGATTGATAAGTTAACAGCTCAAGTTGAAGAGGAAACAAAGGTCAGTATATTTACGTTATATTGATGACATAAATATTGAAGGAGTTATGAATGACTGTATGAATAGTATTTTTTTTGGGGGGGGAGGGGTGAAAAATTGTATGTAGGGAGAAGGGTTTGCATTTGAAATAAATGATAATTAAAATGAATTTATAAAAAAAATCTTTCTTTCTGTAATCAGTGATTGATATTAAGTAATTCACTTGATTTTGTCTAAACACAGAATGAACAAAAATTGCCAACCCTAGTGTGAAGTAGGGATGGCAAATTATTTTGATGTTCCAATTTTAATGTTCTTTATTGTATACCCGGTAGTAAATAAAACTACAACTACACTAATATCCTGTTATTGAAATTACTCTTTCTGGTTTTAATAGAAGAAAATCAAGAAAGTCCTTTTGTTACTTTTGGAGAGTGCATTGCATTGATAATTTAAAAGAAAAGAGTAAAAGAAGTGTATTTAAAAAGTGCTTGTTTTTTTATAACAATTATGTTTTTCATAAAAATTATGATTTTTATGCGTATTGTATTTTACTTCTGTGCATGACCAATATTTATTTTAAAAAATTTGGATTGAATTAGAATGGAATTGAATTCTAGTATTAAACATAAGTTTTTACATGTCATACACGTGATAGTCATCTCTCTCTCTCTCGCTCTCTCTTTCTTGTACTTCCTACAATGATAGACAAAACAGAGGTTTAAAGATGAGAAGGAAGACATGAAGAAGAAATTCCTGGAGTCTCAGAGATTAGAGAAGCAAGCCAGAGTAGACATCGACCAAGCCAAGAAACAGGTAAGTCTCTTAAAGCCTGTCTGTACTAATTTTGCCAAACTGGGGTCATCTCATCAAATCTGCCCTCAATTAACATGAGAAAAAGGGGATCATGGGGTACCTGCATGTACCGCGTATACATTGTTTCCTATATAGAGGGCGCAAGTAGCTACAAGAAGTGCAGTCCCGCTTTCAGACATTATTCAACGTTGTGTATCTAATTAGTACTTCAAGAATAGGATCAAACTATTCCCCGATCAGAATGTAAATATTTACAGAAGTATTTAAAAAATAATATTTGTCTATTGTATAGCACTCACATCTGCTATGCTCAAGGAGTCTAGCAAGGAGTCTAGTAGTCCCCCTTCTTCTTCTGAGCTAAATCTCAGTTCTCAAAGTATATTAGGGATTTCTGCCTACCAGGTTCCCAGTTATGACACCCGGGTCAAGAGTGGCAACTGTTGATTAATGTCTTTACCAGAGGTTATACAGTAGATGCACTGGAACTATCCAATGATTTAAAGCCCCACTGCACTACTTGTAGCTACTTGCGCCCTCTATACAACAAACAATGCATAATCGGTGCCATTGGTCCCCCATGATCCTCTTTTTCTAATGTTAATTGAGAGCTGATTTGATGAGATAACCACCTGCCAGTGACCATGCAGGGAGGTCTAATCACTCCTGTTCACTAGTATTGATGCTCTTAAAGGTTTGTGGATAGTGAGTGTTCATATTTCAAGTATAATTCGTTCTAAATTGCTGTCTTAATTTAGCTGGAGCGCTTCAGACAAAGGGTCATGCAGACGACTTTCTCGGCTCCGGGATTCCGTGTGCCTGACGACGAATCGACCGTCACGGACGACAGCCTCTTGGAGACGATGACCAAGCTCATCACGGAACGCAACGAGGCGAAAAACAAGTTGCGAGAACTCAAAGACACCATGAAGGGTCTGGAGACCTCGAGCAAGGAGACTAAGTCTAGCCACAAGACACTCAAGCAACATCTGATAGCTGCAGAGGTGAGTTGCATTCTCATTTTAAAGATTGGTTACGATGCTTTTTTAGGTTGGAGAGCTTAACATAGTCATAATTTTAAAATCATGCGTTGCTTTGATGCTTAATGTCACCTTTTATATGCAGGATGACAAATTACACACATCCCATCATTGTTTCTGAATTGAATAGAAGGAATATATCTTTTGAAAAATGTAACTGTGGGAGGTTGATTAGGTATTTACCTATTACTTCTTTTCTTGAACAAAAAAATACAAAACAAAACAAACAAAACAAAAAACACACAAGAATTGCTGACAGAAATTTTCATACTTTCATCTGAAAATGGAGAAGAGGGAGTAGAGTAAAAATGTGAATTCCATCTCAGTTGTGGCTGTCACATAATGATATTAATATTAACATGTTTCGGGGATTTTTATGATGGACTTGAGTAAGTACTCTTTGTTTATCAAATTTGCCAAACCACTTTGAACAGAGGTTTATAATGAATCATTAAAGGGAGATAGTAGTCAGTTTCCATGTGCAGTAGGTCATAATTCGCCGACACCAGACTTGGTGGAAATACCATTAAAGGGAAAGTCCACCCCCAAAATAAGTTTGTTTCGATAGAGGCAGAATAATAAGAAAATCAGGTGAGTGAAAGTTTGAGCAAATTCTGAATGAAAATAAGAAAGTTATGAATTATTGAAGTTGTGATCAATCAAATACAAATTGGCAACTCTGTGACTTATTATACGAGCTCTCCTTCATTTGCTTTGTGCATAATATTCCATAAAATCATGTTTTCTTCGTTATTGATGACGGAATATATATTTGTTCCTTGCAGGGGGAGTATAGAAACATATTTGCAATTATTATATTTAGGGTGCATGTATGGTTGAAATTTTTCTTGAGGGAAAATGAAAATTTTAGATTTTTTTAGTACTGAGCAAATGGAAGTTGAGCTCGCATGATACATGCTCGCATGATTGATCACAACTTCAAAATTCCTAACTTCCTTATTTTTAATCGGAATTTGCTCAAACTTTCACTGACTTGTTTCTCTCATTTTTCTACTCCTATTAAAACTAACTTAATTTCAGGGTGGACTTCCCCTTTAATGGGTGTACAAGTCTTACACACAACAAACCAGTGGTCCCGTTTAATGTTAGTAACATTTTGTTGTTCTTACGATTTTTCAGAAACGTCTTGAAGAAGGAGGCAGAACGTGCTCCCACATCCGTAACGAGATCAAGCTCCTCCAGTCGGTCACCGTAGATGAATCCTTACAGAACATCAAAGATACCATCGCTATGATGCTCCAGAATGAGTTGGCATGGCAACAGTCGTTTGAGACCACCCTGGAGAAGTGTGGCTTTGACATCAAGACTGGTGGCAAAGGTAAGAAAGATTGCTTCAAGCATTGTTTAAATAACTTTGTTTAATGACAATTAACTGGATGAGCGCATAAGCATGTTGCACATGCTTTTTGCCTGCTCTCCAAAAGATCTCTTATTTGTCTGTATTTACTTTGTTATATCAATTTGTGTTGTTACCAGTCATTTATATATGTCTTCTGGATACCACTAGTCGAATTGCATTCGATAGTTAGGTGATTTCACACCATATTTTTGATGACAACATTTTTCTGGATTCATGTGTAGTACCTAAGAAGCCATTTTCACTGTACATCTCTATGTAAGTAAAAGTACCCTGGTACTCTATTATGTAATGTATGCCTATTATGTATTGTATGCCTGGACGAACATGAATCACTGGATTCACTAGCAAGCACAATGGGACCGTTTCAACTTGGACTTTTGTTCACACTCTGCCTGTATGCTACTTTGAATAGGAATGTGTACAGCAATGAGCAATCCTTCATTAAACTCTCAATTAATGAGAACTTCACCAGAAAACACTATCTTAAAAGGAGGATTCCATACAACCCCAATAGTACAGCATCTTTTCAACTAGAGCTACTACATGCGGGTGATGTACATCCCAACCCCGGACCAGATCGGGATCAAGATGGCACTGTACCATCTTTTTGCATTCATCGTGACCCTCCCCTTCAGCGTAGAATTCACTACTCTCCAGAGGATCTGTTACAGTGGAGATATGCAAAGCTCCGACGTTTGTGATGTCATCCATTCTTTCGGAATTCAACGAAGAAAGACAAGGAGAGGTAGGCGCGGTAACCGCAGAAAAAACTATCTCCGACAATCAAAAGTGTCAAGATCATCATCATCATCTACTATCCCGATCTGCATTCAACCACGTATTCATCCATACTTCTCAGGTATTGATAGGTCAATATGCATTCAACGAGCAAACTTAATCTCTATACCTCCGATTGAAAGTTTTACCAAAGTATGCACTTTTAATATGCGATCAATAAGGAATAAGACGACTGATTTCTATGATTTTGTCACTGAAAATGACTTAGATATTGTAGCAGTAACTGAAACCTGGCTTAAAGATGGTGATGATGTTATCATAGGGAAAATTACCCCTGCCGGATATAACTTTGAACACCGGCCGCGTCAAGGAAAGGCCGGAGGAGGGGTTGGACTGTTATACAAATCTTCGCTCTCACTTACTACTAGTCTTGTAACTCCGTTCAGATCATTTGAATCGCTTCATGTTACAATTTCAGGAAACTCTCGCTCAATCAGTTTAGTCGTAGTATATCGACCCGAATCTGATGATCATGGGCGTCATCTACCCTTCAGTGTCTTCATGGAGGAGTTTGGTGAAATGTTGGACAGTTATCTTCTCCACCCATCAGAGATCTTACTCGTGGGTGACTATAATATATGGGTTGACGTCCAGGATGATTCAAAGGCCAGACAGTTTCTGAACCTACTATCGACATATGGGATGAAACAGCATGTCCGTGAACCGACCCACGACCACGGACATACACTTGACTTACTGATCACACGTGAACATGAAAATGTTATATCAAATGTAGTAGTGCAACCTGGTCTCTCAGATCATTTTGCTATACTGTGTAATACTACATTGGAAAAACCTAAACCTATTCGACAAAGTTTCTCAACCCGGAATTTAAAGTCTTTGGATAGGCAAAGGTTCTGTAAAGGTCTCCATGTAGCTTTATCTGTTCCTGACTTAGATTATGATGTTACATCTATGTGTATTAATTACGATTATTCTCTTAATGCCTTATTGGATCAACTAGCTCCCAGAAAAACAAGAACTATAGTTGTCAAACCCAAGTGTCCTTGGATGAATGATGATATCCGAGAGGCAAAGTGCCTCAGACGGAGACTGGAGCGTCGTTGGAGAACCACTAAAACTGAATCCGATCGGTCTCTATTTATTAAGCAGAGACAAATAGTATCTCATCTCGCTAACCAAGCGCAAAAACATCACTACACATCTGCTGTAGCAGACTGCAGTGGCGATCAGAAGCGGTTGTTTCAAATTATAAATAAACTCTTGAATAGAAAGAAAGATCAAATTCTTCCTAGTAATGTGTCTGATCAAGACTTGGCAAATCGTTTTTCTGATTTCTTTATGAATAAAGTTAGCAATATTCGTCGAATTCTTGACGCTCGTGACAGTACAGGTTATCAGTCAGTGTCAGAAAATGCCACTCCCTATTTGTCTGAATTTTTACCAGCCACAACAAGTGAGGTTCGGAAAGTCATTATGAATTCCCCACCATCTACATGTGAACTAGATCCTATTCCAACCTGTTTGATCAAAGATTTTTCTAATGAATTCACCCCATACATCACAGAGATTGTAAATTCATCTCTACGTTCTGGCATCTTTCCTGATTGTCTGCAACATGCACTCATTAAACCTCACCTAAAGAAACCAAGCCTTGATAAACAAGAGCTTAAAAATTATCGTCCCGTTGCAAACTTAAAGTATCTTGGTAAGGTAATTGAACGTATAGTATCTACGCGTCTTCAGTCCAGCATAAATGACCAAAACCTACAAAACCCCTTTCAATCGGCCTACAAGGAAAACCACAGTGTGGAGACTGCACTATTGAAAGTACAAAATGACATTTTAATAAACATGGATAAGGGGAAAGTTACTGCATTAGTTCTGTTAGATCTCAGCTGCGCCTTCGATACTGTTGACCATAATATCTTAATCGACAGACTAAAAAAGATTGGCATTGGTGGAACATGTCTTCATTGGTTTCGTTCTTACCTTTCAAATCAATCTCAAGCGGTTAACCTACATGATACAACTTCATCGGTTGTTAATCTTCTGTTTTCTGTGCCCCAAGGATCTGTTTTAGGTCCCCATCTGTTTAATGTATATACCTTACCACTTCATGAGATTATCAGTAAACACAATATAAGCTATCATATGTATGCAGACGATCTACAATTACATTTTTCGTGTCTTCCTATTCAGGAACAGGTAGAAAAACGTGTCAAAGATCTTGAAAGTTGTATTCATGATGTACGAAAATGGATGAATGATTGCTATCTCAAACTAAATGACGATAAAACAGAATTTCTCTTGTTAGGCTCCAGACAACAACTTTCCAAGATTGCTATAACTCATATACGTGTTGGTTCTGTGCACATTGCTCCTTCAGATAAGGCAAGAAATCTTGGTGTCATTTTCGATACAAGCATGTCTCTTGATGCACATATTTCAAAATGTGTGAAAGCTGCCAATTATCATCTTCGTAATCTTCGCGCTATAAGGAAATTTTTAACCCCCAAAACCACTCAACAATTGATTCATGCTTTTGTAACATCTCATCTCGATAACTGTAACTCTCTCCTTTATGGACTTCCTAAATACCAAATTCACAGACTACAAAAGGTTCAAAACGCAGCTGCCCGCCTTGTCACTAAATCTAAACGTTCGACCCATACTACTCAAATACTCAAGAAACTTCACTGGCTTCCAATAGAACAGCGTATCAAATATAAAATTCTACTACTCACCTACCGTTCACTAAATGGATCAGTCCCTGAATATATTTCCTCTCTTCTTAATATCTCTTTAAGTTCTCGTGCAGGTCTTCGTTCCTCTAATTCAACAAATTTAACACAAGTAAGAACAAAGAGGAGTTGGGGAGACAGAGCTTTTATAGCTGCTGCACCCCGGTTATGGAACTCCCTACCCCATTCAATCAAAATGTCAGCCAATCAAAATGTGTTCAAAAAACAATTGAAAACCTATCTAATGTCTGAATTCCTTAGTTAAGACGTAGTGTATTTCAAAATATGATGTAATTAACGTTGTTGAATTATATTTAATTATGTTAAATTATTTTCGTTCAATGTACTTACCTTGTTAGGCGCCTTGAGCATCTCTTGGGGTGGATATGTGCGCATTATAAATGTTGTTATTTTTTTATTTTTTTTTATCTAATGAATTGGAAATTTGGAATATAATTTTATTTATCCTCATTTGTTAGGTATTATATCCATAAGAGCATATATTGAAATACTTTAAAGCTCTGTAATAAAGTTGAATGTGCACTAAATCCATGTATAAATTCAATACAACTTTACAGAGGGCTGAAGAATAAACAAACACTGCTATTTTGGTTTGATGGCAGTTTGTTTATTTTGTTGTTTTTCACTTATATGGTGAAACTAATGTAAATATTAAAGAACTCAATGCAGGAAGAGGTTTTTGTGTTAGAATTTGGTGACGCTTCTTGACAAGATCCAAGAGTTAAAGGATAAAGTCAGTGCTGGCGTGCTCGAAGCAACATGAGAAATTCTTGTTAACTTGGTGGTTACAATTCAATTATGGTATAACTTAATTTCTTACTCTATAGACTCAAGCCGGTTATTTCAGGCTTAAAGTCTAACCTTTTAGTCATTGAAGATCATCTCTGTCATGACTTTAAAAATATTAAAAACGTGTAGGCCTTGATTTATTCTAGTCTGAGAATGGAAATTCCTCAGAGAAACCTTTATAATGGTAAAACAGCATACTTTGTACTTGGTTGGGTAATTCTTTTGGCAGCTCACTCAGGAAGCTATACCGGGATGGAAGGTGAGGCAAGTAACTACAAGGAGTGCATAGTTAGAATGAAAAGGAAACACAGGGTATTTACAAATTCATTTTTGTTGGCCATATTGCAGATCTTCAAGCCCACATCGATAAACTGAGAGACCAGGCTAACAAGGAGAAGAAACTGAAGGAGGAGATTCAGATGAGCGTCGACACCATGTCATCGGGGGTCAGGTCAGAGATGGAGAGGAAGCTGGAGAGACAGAAGACGGAGCACGAAGAGACGATGAAGTTTACCATGGAAAGAGTTAAATTAGAAAGTAAGACCATTGGATGATTTGGAATGATAAGTGTGATAACGATGGTAGTAGCAGTAATAGCAGTCGTGTTAAATATAGAGAGAAAAGTAATAACAATGGATATGATGACAAGATAGGAATATGATGACAAGATGATGATGATAATAATGGTGATCACATTAATAGTGATTATAATGATAATGTATAAAAATGCAAAATGGATAGAATGATCATAGTTATGATGAGAGTATCGTCGATGATAATGGTGATAGTGATGATGATTACAATGATGAATTTGATATGGAAAGACTTGAATTAGAAAGTCAGACCAATAGGCGATTCATTATTTAATGATGCTTATGATGACAATTAGGATGATGATGAATATGACGGTAATGTTGATAATGTGATAAGGATTATTAATATTAATATGATTGATGATGATGATAATGATGACTAAAAAGAGTAAGCTATTGATGGTTGCACTTATGAAAATGAATGTTATAAGGCCAGTAATGTTGTTGGTGATAATGATGGTAATGGTAGTGAAGACGTGAAAATTATTGCAACTTTTGCACTTATATAAATCTTATTAATCTATCAACTCACTATACAATTTTTAATCAGGTGTCAAAGAAATGCAAACGGCCGTTGAAGAAGCAAGACAATCTGAGAAGACGAGATTGGAGGAGACTTTACAGTCGGAGAGACAGAAGGTACAACACCAGGAGCAGAGCCTGGAGCAGCTAAGACAGGTATGAATGAGTAGTAGATTAGGTGATAGGATGGATGGATGGATGGAGGGATGGATGGATGGATGGATGGATGGAGGGAGGGAGGGAGGGAGGGAGGGAGGGAGGGAGGGAAGACAATCTGAGAAGACGAGATTGGAGGAGACTTTACAGTCAGAGAGACAGAAGGTACAACACCAGGAGCAGAGCCTGGAGCAGCTAAGACAGGTATGAATGAGTAGTAGATTAGGTGATAGGATGGATGGATGGATGGATGGAGGGATGGATAGATGGAGGGAGGGAGGGAGGGAGGGAGGGAGGGAGGGAGGGAGGGAGGGAGGGAGGGAAGACAATCTGAGAAGACGAGATTGGAGGAGACTTTACAGTCGGAGAGACAGAAGGTACAACACCAGGAGCAGAGCCTGGAGCAGCTGAGACAGGTATGAATAAATATTAGATTAGGTGATAGGATGGATGGATGGATGGATGGATGGAGGGGTGGATAGATGGAGGGAGGGAGGGAAGACAATCTGAGAAGACAAGATTGGAGGAGACTTTACAGTCAGAGAGACAGAAGGTACAACATCAAGAGCAGAGCCTGGAGCAGCTGAGACAGGTATGAATGATTAGTAGATTAGGTGATAGGATGGATGGATGGATAGATGGAGGGAGGGAGGGAGGGAGGGAGGGAGGGAAGGAGGGAGGGAGGAAGGGAGGGAGTGAGTGAGTGAGTGAGTGAGTGAGTGAGTGAGTGAGTGAGTGAGTGAGTGAGTGAGGGAGGGAGTGAGGGAGTGAGGGAGGGAGGGAGGGAGGGAGGGAGGGAGGGAGGGAGGGAGGGAGTGAGTGAGTGAGTGAGTGAGTGAGTGAGTGAGTGAGTGAGTGAGTGAGTGAGTGAGGGAGTGAGGGAGGGAGGGAGGGAGGGAGGGAGGGAGGGAGGGAGGGAGGGAGTGAGTGAGTGAGTGAGTGAGTGAGTGAGTGAGTGAGTGAGTGAGTGAGAGTGAGTGAGTGAGTGAGTGAGGGAGGGAGGGAGGGAGGGAGGGAGGGAGGGAGGGAGGGAGTGAGTGAGTGAGTGAGTGAGTGAGTGAGTGAGTGAGTGAGTGAGTGAGTGAGTGAGGGAGGGAGGGAGGGAGGGAGGGAGGGAGGGAGGAAGTGAGTGAGTGAGTGAGTGAGTGAGTGAGTGAGTGAGTGAGTGAGTGAGTGAGGGAGGGAGTGAGGGAGGGAGGGAGGGAGGGAGGGAGGGAGGGAGGGAGGGAGGGAGGGAGGGAGGGAGTGAGTGAGTGAGTGAGTGAGTGAGTGAGTGAGTGAGTGAGTGAGTGAGTGAGGGAGGGAGTGAGGGAGGGAGGGAGGGAGGGAGGGAGGGAGGGAGGGAGGGAGGGAGGGAGGGAGTGAGTGAGTGAGTGAGTGAGTGAGTGAGTGAGTGAGTGAGAGTGAGTGAGTGAGTGAGTGAGTGAGTGAGGGAGGGAGGGAGGGAGGGAGGGAGGGAGGGAGGGAGGGAGGGAGGGAGGGAGTGAGTGAGTGAGTGAGTGAGTGAGTGAGTGAGTGAGTGAGTGAGTGAGTGAGTGAGTGAGTGAGTGAGTGAGTGAGTGAGGGAGGGAGGAAGTGAGTGAGTGAGGGAGGGAGGGAGGGAGGGAGGGAGGGAAGACAATCTCAGAAGACGAGATTGGAGGAGATTTTACAGTCGGAGAGACAGAAGGTACAACATCAAGAGCAGAGTCTGGAGCAGCTAAGACAGGTATGAATCAATGGATGGATGGATAGATGGATGGGTGGGTGGATGGATGGGTGGGTCGGTGGGTGGGTGGACCGACAGATGGATGGATGCATGCATGCATGGAGAGCACAGTTAAGAATATAGTCATATAATGACAAACGGGAGAAACTGTAGCTATTGTTGAATATTCATACCTTTGCAAACTTCATATAAACTCAAAACAATCAAATTTGTGCCGATATAGCTTGGTTGATGCTGTTAATTTATGGATGGATGTTGAAACAAATGTTGAAATGAAATAAATTATGTTGATTTAAAGGGTTATTGCATGTTTAAGATACCATGTAGAGAGACAGAGCAAGCAAAATATTTACTTGGTAATGGCCACTACAAATTTGTGCTGATATAGCTTGGTTGATGCTGTTAATTTATGGATGGATGTTGAAACAAATGTTGAAATGAAATAAATTATGTTGAGTTAAAGGGCTATTGCATGTTTAAGATACCACGTAGAGAGACAGAGCAAGCAAAATATTTACTTGGTAATGGCCACTACTTTAAATAGCTTCATATCTGTTTTGTTTAGGCTCTGACAGAAAGGGGTACAGATGATGAGAAATACGTCACCATGGAGAAAAGTCTGAAATTACAAATCGAAGAACTCCAGAAGGAAGAGGTAAGAATTCTAGCATATCAAATATTACGAAGGAGATACATGTGCGTACATTATTATAATGGTTGATGATAATATACATATATGTAGTAGACGAGTTTGACAGAAAATATGTGGATATAATAATAATGCAGGATGAGACTAAAAAAGGGACATATAATGAAAGGGGAAAGGAAGATCAAATGGATATATAATAGGAGGGAAAAAATGAAGAGAGAGAAAAAGAAGACAAAGAAAATAGAAGCAAGACAGAAAGACAGAGAGAGAGAGACACACACACACATTGAGAGAGAGAGAGAGAGAGAGAGAGAGAGACAGACAGACAGACAGACAGACAGACAGGGAAAGAAAGTGAGAGAGAGAGAGAGAGAGAGAGGTGAAAGGAATTTATAAACAAAGGAAAAGATGAAGTGATAGAGAGGGTTAGAGATTGATGGGAAGTTAAAAGAAAATGAACAAAAGAGGGAGAGAAAGAGAGAAGAGGGAATGGAGAGAGAGAGAGAGAGAGAGAGAGAAGGTGAAATAATGAAAAGGAGTAAAAAGGAGAGAGAGAGAGAGAGATATATATATATTGATTCAAACAGACCATCATAGAACATAATAATGCACCTGCACCATCACTGTCACCCAAATATTAGACAATAAAGTTATCTGAAAGTTAGCAGATCACATGTACATATTATCCTAACATTGTGAATATTAACTACATTTGAAACCATGCACTATATTGATCTGGGCCCTGTCTTACAAAGAGTTACGATTGATCCAAATCAATCGCAAGCTTGCAGTCTCCTATCTCTTATGTACACAGTTGCGATTGATATCAATCACAATGAGTTGCGATTGATATCAACTCTTTGTAAGACGGGGCCCAAATTAGACAAACACATAACATCGTATATATAATGTAGCTTAACTGACACCTGCACCCATATACTAGAACCATAGACAATTTTAATTGAAAGTTGGGCAATCTATCAACATCACATAAACATGTCATCGATTTTGGCTCAACTACATATCAACTATATTGATCCGAATAGACAAACTTAGAACATAATAAATGTAGTACAGCTGCAAAGACAAGGTCATCCAAGTAATAGATAATGGAACCATTTATAAAGTGAAATAAATTTGACGTTTATATTGATGTCACATAAACATGTTATCTTAACATTCTGAATAATATCTGAGCTTTGTGACACCACTTTCCGTAGAGCACCTGCCACGATTGATTAGGAATGGAGCCATACATTTTGATGAATATACCAGTTCACATATGTCTAAAATTTAATCAAGCTTTCATTGAGCCTTCTTTCACAGGGATGATATACAGTCAAACCTGTCTATAGTGACCGCCCAAGGGAAACACAAAAAGTGGTCTTTGTAGACAGGTTCCTTTAGTACATGTTTCAATGAGAAACCATTTTCAAGGGAAACAAAAAATGTGGTCTTTGTAGACAGGTGGTCACTAAAGCAGGTTTGACTGTATTAACATTTATTGTGATTCTTGCCAAAATTTAATTTGCATAAATTAGGTGTGTTGCTTTCCTGGTAAACCTCTTGAAAGCTATGTATTATTAACCTTTGAGAACTAAGTTATTATACGATTGAAATGTGAACTGGTCTTTTCCAAGGACATCTACCTCTATACTACAAATGTCCTAGCTGGCCATTAACGCCAGTATCCTAATTAATTGTACAAGTCCAACCCTGAATATTAATGAGCATCATCCATCAATGATAGGTTATCAGTGGTAATTGGATGGGAGTATGGTTGCCATGGTAACAGGCTTCTGTATGCATTTGCCATTCTGCATCACTTGCTGATGGTGAATGGGAGTGTGGAAGTAGTGGCTTGGACAAAAGAATATGCTTCAGTTATTTTCTTGCTGGAAAGAAGTAGTTTTTTGTGAACTTTGACAATAGAATATGCTTCAGTTATTCTCTTGCTGGAAAAATGTTGTTTTAATGTGAACTTTTGATCATTGTGGAATTATCTTGTAAGTAATGTGAATGTCAGGAATACGTTGTTATGCATGGGTTGCTTTATATAAAGGAAGAGACAGTGATTTCAGAGAAGACATTTTAAAGAATTTGAAGTTGGTAGAAAGATATAGTAATTCTTGTAAGCTGTGCTCACATTTATACAAAAGAAATCATTGATGCCTTCACATAAGCTGTTTTCTATTGTTTAATTTATATCTTATATATTACCTTCTTTTTCATTTCCATTAAAAAAATATTCCTTTTAGCTCTCTTGATTTAGATATACCATATCCGTAACTACTTCTAAAGCATCAGGAAGACTATCTATTTACATTTTGTCGCTGTTTTCACGAAGTGACGGTAGTGAAAAAAAATTGCATTCACTTTGCGTGACGATTTTCCTCACTACCGTCACTTCGTCAAAACAAGGACGATTTGTTTATTAGTTTAAATTATTTCTTAGTGATTACAAAGGGAACTTGTATTTTACAAAACAGTCTTCAGTTACACAATTTCTTGTTTTTGTTAAAGATATGTATTTAATCTATCTTCTAGTTTGTATTTAAGTGTATGGCCATTCCTATTAGTGATTTTTTTGTTGTTTTGTGAGTGAAATGAACTATGAAATGACATCCTCCACTATGTTTCACCACTGTGCTAATCTTAAATGATTTATTTGAATAATTGTATAATCATTTATTGTATATTTGGTTAACATTATGTTATAGAATTTGTATACAGTATATTGCATATTCATTTGATTATGTTATATTATGTGGAAAAAATAAAGGATTTTTAAAACTGAACCGACTTGAACTGGAAAAAAAGTGAGAAAAAACCCCCAAAACAAATATTTTCACTGCAATAATCTCCCCTTCTATCTTGTTACCTAACAGAGCAAGCTGAGGGAGGAACTCAGTCTCCACCAGGAGCAGCACAAGAGCTCCGCCTTGAAGGTCGAAGGTCAGGTGACGGAGATGCTGGAGTCCCACGAGAAGCAGGCGGCCGGGTTCAAGGAGCAGATCCGCCAGCACGCCCTGACCATCGTCTCCTTGGAGGAGAAGGCTAAGAAGACACAGAAGGAGCATCAGGCCTCCAGGAAGGAGGCCAAGGAGCTGGAGAAGAAACTTGAAGGTGAGTCCTCAAGGAATTATTCTTTTGTTTTGTGTCGTTGATGAGATATTGTTGTTAATAAGATCATTATTGTGTCATTCTTATAGAGGGGATAAAAGAGATAGAGAGAGAGGGGATTTTTTTTTTTGGGGGGGGGGCTGAAATGCATGGATCACTGTGGGTGATAGAGGAAGAGGCTGTGAATGTTTCAGAGAAGAGATGTGAGAAAACTTATTTATTTTGATAGAAAGATAACGAAAATCATGCAAAACATTTATACAAAAGAAAATCGTGAGTGCTTTTATATTACCATCATTGTCATCATGAATGCCATTAGGAACATCTTCATGATCTTTCTTCTTCTTATCCATTATCATCAACACAAATATTTAAGAAAATTGTTATTACTCTCGATTTATGTTACACTTACTTTGTTAATCTGCCTATTTAACCATAATAATGCTATCAGCATAGTGATCTCTGGTATGTCTACGGTTGTAATTTGTATCATTACAGGTATGTTTCTTTACCAAAGCCTATACCATTCTGTACTCATGTTCTATTGTGTGTTGTATTTATTCCTGATTTTGTATTTTGTATAAATTGATAGTACATGTATGTTAATTGATGTTATATAAATTGATAAATAGCCGGTAAATGATTTTTATGCCATGTCATTGTGCATGATCAATAAAATTGAACTTGAACTTAAACTTAAACTTACTGTTGCAATCATGACCATCACCAGTGGTTGTCAATATAAGGTCATAAATTAAATGGTGCCATTATTTTAATCATCATAAATTTATTATCACCATGGTGAATATAATCAATGGTTGTAATTCATGCTATCACCAAATTTCTTTCCATTAGAGTTATCAGCTGTCATCTATATGATCATTTTCACGACATCAGATTATCAGCGTCATCATGATTGCCGCCATTATCACATCTTCACTTTGAGGCTCACAATATTTGTCTCTATTATCATTAGCACTAGTGCTATAATGACAGTTCCCAGTCTTGTCAATATGCTTATCTCTGAGTTACGTTTGTTTAACCATTAGCCAACTAGGATCAGAGATATAAATCATATCTAAGTCCAATGTGTGAAATATCAATATGTAGGTTAAAGCATTTGTTTATCAGTAACCATGCAGTCTGTTTTTTCCTTTTATTAGGTTAACGGGTAATGGTTTGTTTGAAAGAATAATATGATGGATGATTTGAAACATTCAAGGCGTGCATTGCCTCCCATTGAAGCAACTTTAAAAAAAATGAATTCACGATTTCTGCAGTTCAAACCAAGCAAGTGGAGGAGGAATTGAAGAGAATCAAGGCTTCTTCCCCGGCCAAGCCTGTCATCGTAACTCAACCATCTGCTGAGGTACCGGCCCTTCAACACGCCATCAACCTGATCAAGTAAGACATTGTAAAAATGTATCTGTATCTGTAAAGTGCTAAGAGACATCATATGACATAGACATCTATGTAAAATGGAAATGTTAAAGTGACTCAGTAACATTGCCTCAGATGCTGCAATCATTATTATAAACCTTTAGGTCAATCAGGAATCTCATGACTTTTACAAGCCAATCGCCTGTCTGATTATCAAGATATTTAAGATTGGAAATCAAAATTTCATTTTTTGTTTTCCTAACGGTTTTTATAACACTACAGTCTATTGGGGGAAACGAGTATGGTAAAACCGGTCACTCAAAGATTTTTACTTTTTTGAGGCACTTCATGATAATTTTGAAGCGTAACTTTTTTAGGGCTTCAATATTACACCATATCACAGACACTGATAACACATAGGGGCCATGCATCTCAGATTTGACATTGTTAAACGATCCCTTTAATATTCTGATCTTTTGCTTGTTTTTAGGAGGGAGAACGGCCAGCTGAAGAAGGAGATGCAGGACCAGCAGGACGTAGTCTTGGGTCTCAGGAGAGACTTGGCCGGAGCCTCGGCCAGACTTTCAGACATGACAGGTAAAGCAGCATTTTGAGAAACAACTTAGATTTAAGTAGTCACCCGAAGAATCAAAAGTGTTTTTAATTGGTGCAAAATTCATATCATTGTGAAGGGGAAGCCTTACTGATCAAATATTACAACTTCCCTCTTCAAAATATGTTTGGGGCCATGTTAATTTTGAGATCCAGATTTGCTGCCTTCAGCGGTCCTCTGTAGAGCGTCAAGATTCGTGACGTCACATGCGAGACACAGCTAGCCACAAAAATGTTACGCCTTTCCATGATATCCAAAAGATTTTTCATCAAATTATTCATGTTTTCAAAGAGAAAATCTTTCCATCCATCCATATAATTTGTCTGTAATTATCAAGTTTCTTCGGGTGACTACTTTAAATCTGGGATAAAAGAAAGTTTCAGCATACATAATTAGATTGAATTACATTTTGATGGAATTAATTGTACTTGAAAAATAAATAGATAAATAATATCCCTGAAGAGCCAGAAGGGCATTAGTTCTTAACCTTTGACACAGGGTTAATGCCATTCTGACTCTTATTGGATGATATATTGTCTGATGTGTGAAAAGGGTTGCTCATACTAATTAAAATTATGTGATTTAATGCAATTCGATCTGCTTCTAATTCAATGATATAATGATTCTTGCCTGCTGTATTCATCACAAGAAAGTGTATGTGTGTTAATTTTTAAAGTGGGACTGCACTACTTGTAGCTACTTGCGCCCTCTATACAGCCAAAAAATGCCTAAGCGGTACCCGTTGATCCCCCATGGTCCCCTTTTTCTGTTAATGGAGAGTTGATTTGATGAGATAACCACCTGCCAGTGACCAGGTAGGGAGGTATAATCCCTCCTGGCCAAACTAGTGCAGATAGGCTTTAAGAAAAAGGAAACCCGGCCCATTGGTGCTATATTTTACCATGAGTGAGTCTGTGTACATAAAACTTGGAGGAGTTCACATATGTCCAACAATTAATTCCCCTACCTCTAATCACTTTGTGTGCATCCAGGAGAGCTGAGTGACCGTCAGAAGGAGGAGATGGAGAACCAGAAGGCTCTCATCAAGGACCAAGAAGCTGAACTGACCACTCAGAGACAGCAGCTGGTCAAGCTGTCCGAGCTGGTGGACAGGAAGGGGATCGAGGCGGAGAACATGGTCAAGGAGATTGCGTAAGTTTCAAGATAATCTCGAGTTCTGTTGATGATGAAAATAAATGATCACAGAATCCAACAAAACTTACACTGAATGTTCAATATTACAAATAAATGACATTTGCCAAACGATTGTGGTAGAAAATGTATAGGGGCTGAGTAATGAGCATAGAAAGATAAGGAAATAGAGGTAAGTAGGCCTGACACCTTGTGATTAACACAGATTTTTATGCAATGAATATATATATAGTAGTGCCCTGCCGGAATCGTTCCTGTTCAGTTACTTTTCTTCAAAATCTTTGCTTAATACACATTTCTCTTGTTACCAAATTTACATTTACTATTCATACAACATTACATAAACTTTGGGTCCATAATATTGATTAACCATGAAGCTTGAGTATTTCTGAAGATAGTTGGCTATTCTTTTTATGCAAAGTTCAATTTGAGCAAACATCATTACAGTTGATAAGAAACATAGTTTCTCACTTCTGGTATGTCACAAAAAGTGCCCCAACTTTCTTTACAGACCCATATAGCCATATGTTGTGTGTTTCATCTCCAGTGCACAGAAAGAACTGCTGCTGAGACAGAAGAAGGACACCGCAATCAAGGACTCTGAGCTGAACAGATTGGAGCAGAACCTCAAGCAGGAGCAAGTTCAATCCCAGAAGGCCAAGCAGGAAGTCGAACAGGAGGTAGAAAGCGAATCTGTTAATCAAGGAAACTAAAGATATTCATCAATCTTGTTTTAAAAAAATGTTGCAAGGGCTGATATCAATCATATACTACAAAAGGACAACCAGTATTTATACCAGTATATCAAATTCATGACCATCTGTATGTAGAAGATCCGTTACTTGTTCATTTACATTGATTGATGATCTAAAAACGATTTATTCATACATATGCAGAAAATATGTATATACATTAGGAAATGGAAAAGCTTAGGCGGTTTAAATTTCTGATTGGACCATGAAGCAAATATGTTAACAGAAATTTAGATCAACTTAGAACTTGATATTATCAGTTGCTCTATCTCTAAATACTGGAGTACTTTCCAACAAAAAATATGTTTTTTGAGAGACTCACTTTCGTTCTGCTCTCTAACACTCTCCAAGTTATTTTTTAGGCGAAATAGAATACACTATAGGCCTTTGAAGTTTCATTCGAGGTATAACAAAAACATAAACCCCTCCAATTTATCACTAAAGTTTGCTTTAAATTCAAATTTGGAATCATGTTTCATTGTTTGATGTACAGGGTTTGATCACAAGCGAGTTGTCAACCACAGGGGCACAGTGCAGAGGAGAGAGACACGCTGAGGTTATCTCTAGGCAACGAGAAGCTCTCGGAGAGCTGAGAGGGAGGATAAAAGGCATGGAGCAGAACAGACCCCCATGTAAGTCAAGCAAATGTGATTGATCGCATATAGAAAAGGCATATTGCACCAAAATAAATCAGATATAATTAATTGTTTGTAGAATCTGATTACCATTTTTGTAAAGCGTTAAGAGACCTGTGTATCAAGCGCTATATAAATCTAGATTACTATTTTTACAGTCATACCTGCTTTATAGCGACCACCTGTATAGAAAGACCACCTGTCTACAAAGACCACATTTGTTGTTTCCCTTGAAAATGGTTTCTCATTGAAAAATGTACGAAAGGCACCTGTACTTAAAGGCCAATTTTTCAGAGAGCAAACAGTGGCATGAACGGCCTGCCACATTTAAATCCAACTTAAAGTCAATTTTAGACTTTGTGAAACACTCCCCAGATCTAATTAGGCTATTTTCTAATTAACTTGGTCTCGTTTTAATCCACATTCTCTGCTACAGTACCCACTCAAGACCAGGCCTTACAGCAGGTCATCCTCCTCAAGAAAGAGCTAGCCGAGATGAGGGCCAAGCAAGCCCAGATCTCTGCCATGTCAGGCCAGTCCTCCTCCCCCGACGTCCTGCTTGAACGTGAGGTCGCCAAGGCCAGAGGTCAAATCTCGACCTCCGTCTCGGATGCAGCCATCGAGAGAAGCGCCAGAGTCGAGATCCAACAATCCATGGATAAGAGCGAAACAGCTGTAAGAAATATTTAAAACATTATTTGTCCTTTGTTTATGTTTTTAACCTGCAATCCAAATTGCCTTTTTGACTACGTACACCCTCTTTCAATATTACTAATCGAAACCTCTTTGAACGACTGTGTAGATAGATTTTCTGTTTGTTCAGTCCAATCATATTTTTTTACACTTTAAGCAGTTTTATTTATCTTCAATGTTTACAGTGATTTTCATTTGTTTTTCAAAATTCCAAAGTATTTACAATAACTCAAAAAACTATTAGTAAGATTCCCATGATTTTACTTGATTCTCATACCAATTTTTCAAAACTGCTTCTGTGAAATTCATCTTTTAATGAGTGATTTGTGAAAGGTGCTTACAGCAGCTTGTCGTTGAAATCAAAATAAAATTTTGAATTGCATGTGAACTCATGTACACATCCTAATTGATGTACCTACAAAGTTTAATTTTAATCATCGTTCTTTCTTTGATAATAACCAGTACATGGAGCAATCTAAAATCAAAATGGAATTTATAATTGAATTTGAACCCATGTTCACATTCTAATTGATGTAATAATAATATTTAATATTTAATTTTTATATAGCGCTGAAGAGAACTGTCTCTAAGCGCTTTACAAATATACCTACAGAGTTTAATTTTAATCATCTCTCTCTTTCTTTGATCACCAGTACATGGAGCTATCCGGGACGGTCGCCCGACTGCTGGGGCTGGGTGAGATCCCCGGCCAGGAATCACTGGCCCACTTGCCCCGTGACGAGAAGGAACGCATCATCAAGGAGAGGGGCAGCAGCCACGAGCTCATATTGAGTCGGCTGAAGACGCTCAACCAGCGTCTGGAACGCAAGGACGCTCTCCTACAGGGCTACGAGAAGGACCTTGAGAAGCTGCGATTGGCCGAGAGGGTAGCCAATGAGAAGGCAGGCCAGGTGGAGAGTTTGGCGGTAAGTTTTTGTTGTTGTTTATAATCATGGTTTATTAAAAAATAAAAACAAATACAAATAATCTACGATGTGGTGTGTATATATTTAAACCCTGTTCAATTTTCTCTGTATTTGTAACCTATAATTTGTACAGGGCCTCTCAGGATAACAGTTTTAATACTGATAGAATACCCTGTCGAAATAAAAACAAATAAATGAATAAAATAAAAACGATTACAGTCTGATGATAATAATAATAATGATAATAGCGTAAACTCATGGAGCACACACACCATCCATCATGGTGCTAGTTCTGCAACAGTTCTCTTTAATACAAGTGAAGTAAATGTTTATTTGATAATAGACTAGTTATACCAATATAAACTCAAATACATTCTCATATTCCATGTTGAATGATCCCCCTCATGTGATACATATTATTTGGTGTTCTATGTCTGCAGGGTGATGTTAGGAGTCGCCAGGAGGAGTCACACTACCTGAGAGAGACTCTGAGGAGAACGAGAGAAGAACTAGATAAAGAGAGGAGACTCAATAGTGCAATCAAGAGTAAAAAGGTGAGCTTTATATCTTACTACTCCTCGAAATAGTATGGCTTGAAATGTTTAGTGAAAAAAAAAAGAGGAAATTGTCTTTGAAGTAGTACTGATTATACTGGAGACTAATGTAAAAACGTGTCGTCTAGTGGATACTACGTCACAAGACTGTGGATCACAGGGTTCACGGTTCGAGTCCCGCCACGGCACTAATGTCTTTTGGCAAGACATTAATCTACATTTGCCACCCTCCACCAAAGTGAAGAAAATGGGTATCCGGTTGTAATATATTCCTTGAATAGTTTAGTGCGTTATAATGGCGGCTATAATGGCAGCTCAGCTTCAGCCGGGGTAATAATATGATACTTTTTATTAAGGGCAGTAAACTATATGCATGTATAGTAGTTTACATTCTCGTTTTATATATTAAAACATAATTTTCTTGTTATTTGACTCCCATGTAGACATTCCATCTTGAGAATGATGAGAAGAACAAGCAAGTGTGGCCCAAACACAAGTGCTATGAAGATGATGCCAAGACGAATAAGGTAAGTAAACATTGCTGAATGAACGTATGTCTTCCTTTGGTGTTCTGCCCATAATAGCAGGTCCATATATTTAAGAACCACCCTGGTTCCCATTTCAGTGATGTTGCAACACAATCCTTAATAAACAAAAAATTTAAAAAATGATGAAATTCATAATTTCCTCATTGCAATCATAACTCACAAAAATGAAACATAAGAAGGTACTTGATACTCCTTAAATGAGAATCTTAACATTATTTTGATGGGTAAAAACTAAAAATAGATTCTAATGGAGTACTTCCTCATGAAAAGGCCTATCATATTACTGTTGGCAGTATTGTTTAGTGTACAGCATGCTTGATATCAATACAAATATAAATCTTTTGGAGACATGGAATAATGATGTTTAAAGCTAATCATCTTTATGTATTTTAGCTATAAACATCTCTCAGAGGACTCTTATTTACAAGAACGTTCTTTTTAAGTCTCCACACCTATTATCCTTTTGTATTAATTAAATCAACCAAAAAGAAAAGGAAATCAAAAATTGTGTTATAACTCCTCAAATTAGTTGTTGTAAAACATTACTGTAGTTTAAATGGCATCTATCTGGTGTAATTCTCCATCTTTATTTTTCATTTTACATTATTTGTTTGATATTTGCATTTTCTTTTGTATCAATGTTTTATTTATTCATTTTTGTTTTTGTTTCACTTTACTGTGTTTGATAAGAAGAGGTAGCCAGCCTCAATTTGTTCTCTTTATTGATTTAAAGCCCCACTACTTATTGCTACTTGTGCCCTCTATATAGCAAACAATGCCTAAGCGGTATCCGTTGGTCCCCCTTGATCCCCTTTTTCTTATGTTAATTGAGAACTGATCTGATGGGATAACCTCCTGTCAGTGACTGTGCAGGGAGGTCTAATCCCTCCTGGCCAAACTAGTGGAGACATAAATATATGTATATATATATATATATATATATATATATATATATATCAATATGAATAATGTTATATGAAATCCATGTCTCTCTTTTTGTCCACAAAACAGAAGGAGGGAAAGAAGAAGCTGCAACAGGAGAAGTTTATACGCAAGGAATACGAAATAGAAACACTGAAGGCGGTAAGAATTCACTGATTAATTTGTACAATTTAAGTTTAAGTTTTAATGCTGTTCTTTCATTCAGGTAATAGAACTGCATTATAAGAAAGACTGACTTACTTGTTAATAAACAATTGATGAGTTGTTTTGTGTGGACAACCAAAATCTTAAACATGGTGGAAATCCCAATAATGAAAAAGTGAAAGAATATTTGTACATAAGAGACAACATGTTATGCATGTAGATCAGGACCATACGGCATGTTTTGCTTATATTTCTTTGTTCATTCATACAGCACAAAATTGAATAGTTTCATACAATTCTTTTCAGCACATGTAATTCATTTGAAGTTTTGAACACTTAATTTAAATTCTTTAGTATACATGTATTATATTTTCTGTCATTATGAGAATTCATGATTAAACCTGTACAATGAACAATTTAGGTTGGTGTTGTTTATAATAATAATAATGATAAAAATAATGATAATATTAATAATAATGATAATATGTCTTGTTTACCCAGGGTAGCCTCATCCGTATTAATGCTGTTCTTCCTGAGGGTCCTGCAACCATGTTATTTGAGCACTGTTTCATGACCTTGTGGAAATTTATTATTTACAGTTTCAATATGTGTGAATGTAAATCCCTTCCCAGACCTGGGAACTTCTTATCAAGGGGTCAGTGACACAAAGACGTAACTCTATTTTGGCCATTTTGAGAAAAAGTGGTTTATGTGCCACTGAGCACTTGGGCCTTAAGGAGTTAAGTCTATGTTTCACTAGCCATTGACTTCAATGGGGTGTCGGGTGGAGTTAAGTGGAGTTTGTGTTTCGTCTTTGTTTCCCTGAACCCTCATCATGTTTTTGGTTTTGTTTTTATCCTATCACAGGAACTAGAAGCCAAGGATCAAAAGCTATGTGAGACCACAGCTAGACTCATCAACATGGAAAATGCTGTAAGTTAATCCTGATAATGAAGCAGTACACTTTCTCACTTCCTCTTAGATGGCAACTTTTTGGATTCCTGTTTACGTACTGTAGGCCTACATTTTCTATGAAAATCGGATTTTCATCTACAGTCAAACCTGCTTTAGTGACCACCTGTATAGAAAGACCACCTGTCTACAAAGACCACTTTATTTGTTTTCCTTTGGCGGTTGCTCTAGACAGGTTCGACTGTATACGCTTCCTCTTAGATGTCAACTTTTCTTGATTCCTGTTTACATTACTGGCCTACATTTTCTATGCAAATCAGATTTTCATCTACTTCATTTTTGTTTTGTTTTTGTTGAATCAATAGGAAACTAGACTTATACATGGTTGTCACCCCGTTTTAATACCAATCCTGCCTTTAAAGGGGAAGTTCACCCTGATAGAGTAAAACCTGTCTATAAAGACCACCCAATGCAGACAAGAAAAGTGGTCTTTATAGGCAGGTGGTCTTTATGTACAGGTTCCTTTAGTACATGTTTCAATGAGAAACCATTTTTGAGGGAAACAAAAAAAAATGTTGTCTTTGAAGACAGGTGGTCACTGAAGCAGGTTTGACTATATTAACTTGATTTTAATAAAAGCAGAAAAATGAGATAAACGAATTAGTGAAAGTTTGACCAATAGCCAATAAAAAAATAGGAAAGTTATGAATTTGTAAAGCTGTCATTGGTATAACACAAATTGGCAACACTGTGACGTATATTGCGAGTTTCTCTCCAACTTGCTCTGTACAGAAAATTTCATAAACTTTCATTTTGGTAGCTATTGATGATGGAATAGATTTGTTTCATACAGGGGTCATATATTTGCAATAATTGTATTTAGGGTGAATGTATGATTGAAAATTTTCTTACAGGAACATAAACATTTTTGATGTTTTTAATTAGTACAGATAGAGGGAACAGCACCACAGCGCCTAGAAACAATGTATTAGGCGCGTTATAAATGTGATCTGTTATTATATTTATTATTATATGAACATGCCCCACCCCTAAAATATGTGTGGGGGGGGGATGTAAATTATCATTTCCCAGAGGTCATTTGTTTGATAACCTTATCTGAAGCCTCTTCATATGTATTTGTGTGTATCATATTGAGATTCACAAAACAAATCTCATAATAAGAAGTTGGAACAGCAATTTCTCATTCTAGTTAATTTTCTTCTCTTTTTTTCTCTCTCTGTTCTTACAGGCTATGTCATGATTCCTTTGCTCCAAAAAATCTACGTCTGGTTAGCTATCCTCCAGGTCAATGTCCCTTCCACCTTTCTTTCACATGAGAACAGAGTAATCGCATCAAAAAGGTCAAAGGTCAAAGTCCAGATATCATCAAAGGGAAGAAAGGATGTGTCATCCTGCATATGATGTTACATTAATGATGATAGTAATGATAAATCTGGATTTATACAGTGTTTAGTACCGAAAAGCGTCTCTAAGCGCTTTACAGATATTATTATTACCCCAATCTTAATAGAATGTGTTTAAAAACAAGAAAGCAAAAGAGATTTGTTAAATGCCAGATGGCAGCGTAACTCAATTTTGTATTCATTTAAGAGCGTGTACTGCTAGTTTGTAAATCACTACATCACCTTGATCTAGATGTAAATGAAATGTAAAAGTTGAGCAACATTTGACTTTGACTTGTACTATTTAATAATAGATGTGTAGTTCATATTCATTATTCTTGTCCTGAATCAGGCCATGATTTTTTTCTTTCAAATTTAACCTAAATGTAATTTTCCAGTTCTTGTAAAATGAATGTCTTTTATATTTTACAATTAAAACTTCTAAATGAAGCCGTCTTGAATAAAAATGTAAAATTGAAGGTATGGACAACATGCATTGGGAAGGTAGTAAAAGAAATGATGAATAATTTATAAACATTTGAAAATCAAAATTTGAAACTAGGAGAGCCCATAGCATATGAGAATGATCGATTTTATTGCTAAAATTCAAGTAATTGTAAAAATAAGTTTGGGATGTAATGCATTCCGGTACTCATTTAAGATTTTGTACAGTTAGTGCGGAAGCATCTATTTTCGGGCATTATCTAAATAGCAAACAAGGTCTTGGTAGCTGTGTGATGTGTCGATTGTTTCAAAATTTCTTCACAGTTTGTCTCAATTGTAATGAAACAGGTATAGTTTTGAATTTTGTTCTGATGAATTACATGATTGATTTGCAAGTTGTAAAATACTTAATGTTTTTTGCCTTGTTAAAGAGATTCATTTCCAATCTTGAAATCAAAATGACTACTCTCGTGGTTGGATTTTTCGTGTCAGCAGAAATGTTAATATTGGTTAATATCTTTGAATACATGTTCAATGTTGGAAGAGGGTAGCGTTTACATTTTTAGGTGTATTCTAGTTCATTCTAGGCTATTGGAAGTGTTTAATAGAAGGTGTCTAAATGGAACTGAGGCTTTGTGTGAAATCTGAATCACATTTTGTATATGACTGTACAAGTATAAGGATGGGGTTGGATTGTCACTATTGATTTTGAGTTTTGTAACAAGCCTGAGGTTTTATGTATGATCATGTCTGAGCAGAATTAAAATGAATGACTCGTCTCTGGTGGTGCATGGTTGCTATTTTACCTGACTGCTGAGAAAGCATAAATGCTTGAAAGTAAGCAACCAGACGGTCGACGGCTTAAGGTCCTCTCTGAGGGACCTGGTAATGAGGATTAATGCCTTACCAAAGGGCACTAGCGCATCGCCTTGGTTTCGAACCCGGGTCACCGGATTACGAGACCACTGCTCTACCGACTGAGCTATCGCGCATCCATATCTGCAAGATATGAATTTTAATTCATGAGAACCGTAATGAAATTATTGACCTCATAGACATGTACCTGCTCTATTCATACGAGACATACAAATCTCTTCCTACCGCTTAACGGCATGCGCTTTCATACTAGTAGCGATCTGTAAAGCCCTTAAATCAAGCAACATTTGCAGTGAAGCTAGCATTAAATACTTGGCAAAATACACACAAGACATTATTTCATTTATTCGTAAATTCATAAATTGCTGGTTTTTAGAGTTGTTAATTTTTACGTGATTAATCATGTACATTGTGTTCAATTACTGTTGATACTATACTTGAAATGACTTGATAAGATCAAATGAAATATTTCTGTATTCTATATTTTTAATGATACCTGTACATATGTAACTCAAACTATGGTATATGCCAATATCGTGTATTATGAAAAGATAAATAAGATGGATATGATTTCATATTGGTTTGGTCTATCATAACTCTGTTTCACCATCAACCACACTTTGCTGTTTTTCAAAAAAAAATTGAGCCCGCAACATCAAAAAGCAATACTCACACAGAAGATTTAGTGATATTCTTTCAAGTTTTCCTGAGTATATTATAATATCTTCTGCATGAATAGAAAAAGACTAAAGAATTTTCCTAAAAACTCTTTTTTTTAAAAGAATCTCCCTTTAGTATAGCACATTTTGATACCACTGAGACTTAATTTTTTTTTTTATGTTTTGCACCTTTTTATTAAAATGACTGCAAGTAGAATTTATTAAAATAGTAACAATAATTGCCAAATATGATTTTTGAATATTTTTTTAAAAAGAAGCAGTTAGTATTCAAAGAATAAAATAAATTGTGTCCCGAAATGTTCAAATGTATAAAGAAAAATGTAAATATATTAAATACATATATTGATGAAACAGTAGTATTGTATCTCATTATGTTGAGTAAATTGTTAAATAATTCTAAAAAAGTGTTAGATTTAAAATTGTAGATAGTTGGTATATATCGTACATTGCATTGTCTCGAGTGTAGTGTAATTTTTGTTGATGTAAATGTATATTTTTCAGCAAATGAAAGATCATGTCTCGTGAGTGAATATATTGTTATATTGGTACATTCTTGCAAAATTATGATGTGAAAAATATATATATTAAAATCAGAATGAGATTGTATCCACTATGTTTATATCTCTTTATTGTCTTTGTTGTTAATTTAGTTTACTATTTAGCTTATTTCAGATATTTTAGTATCAAGAATATATGTATAGCCACTATCATAGCATTTACAAATTCACACAAGTTCTGCATAGCATTGCTTTGTATGGTGACATTGTAAACAAAATCCTGGACTTGGTTCAAACTTCAACGTTCCACAAAACCGTTTGCCAACAACCCATTGAAACGCATGTACAGTGACAGTCAAACCTGCTTTAGTGACAACCTGTGTACAAAGACCACATTTTTTGTTTCCCTTGAAAATGGTTTCTTATTTGAAACATTTGCCAAAGGAACCTGTACATATAGACCACATGCCTGTAAAGGAGCCTGTAAAGACCTCTTTTCTTCTCTCCCTTGCGCTTGGGTGGTCTTTCACTGTATATTATTAAAGTTTAACACACGTTTCATAGGGATTTCAATGTGATATGTACTAATGAAAGTTTCATTTAACGATGCCCAGAATTATAATCTATTATGGACAGCTTATACATCCTAATGTCCCTTCTTGTTTTGCATTTTTTCATAAATTTGTGTTTGGGGGAAATAGTGCAGAATGGGCCCTCTAATATTAGAATATGACGATTAGTTTCACAATTTGCTTTCAAAACAAGGAAAGAATCAGAGAAAAAAGGGGGACTGGCTATCCTAGAAAAGAAGGCATACTGTTCTTTGAGTTACCATAGTGATGACAACAATGAGGTGATGCGTGCAGAAAGGTTTAATATCTGATAATTGTGTTATAATTTCAGCGATGAAAGATATGTGGTCTGATTCCCGCATCCATATCTCCCTCTGTAATCTTATTACATTAAATACTTAGTCTTTGATGACAGACATAATCGAGCAACTATTTCATTAATTTTCAGCCTTTTTAGAAATAGAGCAATATAAATATAGTACCTTGCTATATAATTTAAAAAGAAATTGATACAACATTTGTGGAATAGACGTGCCAGAGCTGGTTCACTTAATTCAGACTCTTAAAAAAGCCACTTGTTATTAAACTAGTTTTTGTATCGTCGCATTTGAGCACACTGTGCATTTGCACAGTACATGCTGCATATATATGCAAAAGCATATCTGCTGCATGCATGCGCTGTACGTACACACTACTTCCTGCTCAGACAACCTTACAACCACAAGAGGAGCTAGACGGGAACGTTAGAAAGTAGAAGATATAACTTAAGTTAATTCTAGGCCCTTTTACCTCATATGACGAGAATCGGACCAAATTTTGGGTAGCTAACATACGGATCTAGGTTGGACCTGCGTAGTTTTTAAAGATTTTTCATCGTAAGCTGTGAAAAAGAGTAAAAGGCGAGAGTATGGCGACCGACGAATTGGCACAGAAGTTGGCCCGCCGAGATCGGATAAACGAAGGGGATGAGCAGGGGGACTCGCGCCGCGTGCAGGTGTTCAACGTGTACACAGAATTCAAGGAGTTCACCAGGAAACAAATCAAAGAGTTCGAGAAAGTGTTCAAAAAGTAAGTGTGGCGTAGTACTAGCTCTCGATGTCTTGTCATTAAATTGAATTAAGTCTGTATTTTTCAGGTTACAAGTAGAAAAAAATGAATTATAACATGACTAGACTAGATCTAGATCTAGACTGGTCTAGACTAATCAAATTCAAAATGTCTTTCGATTTGATTTTGAATTGAAACGAAACATGGGCTGGAAATAGTGGAAAATAAAGTTAAATTAAAAGGAATAAATGCTTCATCATTCATGTTTAAAAAAGTGTACCAAAATATAGACTCTAGATATAGCTCAATGGTTGTTAGTGAAATAAACTATAGGCCTAGGTCTATTTTGCTACTATAATTAAGTTCCAGAGCTCCACTCTAACATTTTTTTGTTCAGGATCCGGACTGAAAATTTCGAGTCCATATCAATTATCAAAAACTATTAACTTAAGCTAAGCCTTAGTTGTGTAGAATTTCTACAATTTTGGGGTCCTGATCTCTGAGGACCTAGATTTTGGGCACCCAACAGCCTAAGTGTTCAAAAAATAATCTTAAAACTTATCTGTTTGATTTTACAAACTTAATTAGTTCTCTAAGTCTAACTCTATCTTTCATTTCTGTAGTGTAGGCCTATGCCCTTCTTCTTCTTCTTCTTCAAGATAATCTGCCTCCTTCAATACTGAAGATTCTTGCAAATGCCGTTCTATCTTACTCCTGTTCTTTTTTAAAATAATTTTATTTTCATCTCAAATTGGCCTTGAGCATTTGATTTGAAGTGGGTTTGGCATCTATATGTATTCACCTGTATGCACCTGTCTTTTCGGGCTCCTTAGTAAGACTATGTCTTATAATGCCCTCCAATAGTTCATCAGTACACCACTGCAAAGAGTTCGTTCCTTAATACAATAGGTCCATCGCTGGATTAATATTCATATTATTTAACAAAGGGAATGGTACTACTTCATTGGCATTTTAATACATTACATGTAAACATAGTAGCTAGTACCACCCCCTCCCCCTCTCCCTCATGACTAGAGATTTTATTCCTACTGCTATAGAGCCTAAGACATTGGATTTGCACCAGTAAAATTGTTTGTAGTCATCAGATACCTACATGTACATGTAGACGTATCTATCAGCTTTAATAGAATGAATATACAAAAACTCTACTGGTACATGGCACATGCATGGAAAGCAATATGACTATAAAACTGACGTTTTTTTAATGGGTTTTAAATGGCAGTCTAAAAAGACAAAGGTTTTTCATAATGGTTTTCCTGTACTAAGTGTTGTGTTTTTACATGTTTGTGTAGTGCTTACTTTACCAGGGATCTATTACATAAAGGCCCCAAATTTGTTACTTTGGAGTCTTTGTATTGGACCCACTCCCCCCCCCCCCCCCCATATTTATTTAAAAGTTTAAATAGGGGCCCTTGCATACAGATCATAAATTTTTAAATCTCATCCCCCCCCCCCCCTGTGAAAGAAAAACCCAACTACTGTATAAATTATAAAAGGGTATATTGAGTCAATAAAAATATAAACATAATCCAATAAGTAGTGATACAATAACCCAAATACCTAATTTCACACATTCATCTACAAATCTTTGAGATTGACAGAACAAGGTCAGGAAATGAGCTCAATCAGATTTGATCTATTTACATGTAATCTGTTTCAAAGGGTGCAGATTGCAAAAGTGCAATTATTGGTTTTGCAAATTGAAAGAGGACAGCTGAATAACTTCATTAAGTACAGAGTTCATCTACCGGTATTTATATATGCAGAGCTCAACACTTAACATACACCCCCCCCCAAAAAAAAAGACTGCTGTGCCTGTACCTGTGCTCCAAATCTTTTGCTAGACACTGAAATTTAAGAAGTATAACACAGGGTTCATTATTATGGACCCTAACATTTCAGTACAGACCCCCTATGAAAAACGTTTGTATGGATTGTAGAGCCCTGTCTATGAGGCATGTACATTAGTTCATTTTGTGAACACAGAATTAACAGTTTAAAATAAAGACCGGTACAGGAAAGTGTAAGTTGTGAAAACAGATAATCAAAGAAAAGGACTCACAACATTTCAACATTCCAACATTTCCTCATGCTTTCCCTCTTTTAAGCTACCATAGTGTCACAATACACCAGTTCATGGTTACAACAATGCGCATGCGCAGACATGGGCGCCATTTTAATATACGGGTAAACAAACCATTGACCTCTGGAGGTCAGTGGTTTACGAGTAAATGAATAGCGCCCATGCAAATATGATGTGAGCGCATAGCACAGGCAGTGACGCAACATGTGCATCTGAAAACATTGATGACATCACTGCCTGCGCTGTGCGCTCACATCCTATTTGCATGGGTGCTATTAATTTACTCGTAAACCTCTGACCTCCAGAGGTCAATGGTTTGTTTACCCGTATATTAATATGGCGCCCATAACCGTAAACTGGTGTATTCCTTGAATTATGGCCTGTTCAGACATACAGAAATTTATACAAAACTTTGTTGAGAGCCATATAAAGAAACATCGTTTAAAGAAACAGATTTTGTAGAGCCAATCATCAGATGATCAGCGCTCTCATAATAAGCCCCATCCAGTTGTATGATTGTCTTACGAGACAGCTTTCAGACTACGAGTCCCGCCACGGCACTAATGTCCTTTGGCAAGACATTGATCTACATTTGCCACACTCAACCCAGGTGAGGGAAAGGGGTACCTAGTAGGAGTATTCCTTGAAATGCACTGTGCGCTGATGAGGCTGCCAGAGCTAAAGCTAGGGTAATGAAGTCCAAAGCTCTTTGGAAGCGCATAGAGATGTTATTTCATAACGTATTATGCGCTAAACAAGAACTGAACTATTATTATTATTATTATTATTTTAATAGTTTTCGTTCGAAATGATGCTCGCTATACAACTTTTCGCCATAAATCGTTTCCGTATGCGATGCTCAGACTATGAAAATCCATTTAGCTAGATCATGTACACGTATCTGTACCATGAATTCTGGTAGCTCGTTCGTTCGTGTCTCCTTACTCCTTAGATCAAAATTAATTTAAAGTTCCTGAAACCTAACTTCTGGTAGCTGAAGCCATTGTTTTAAAGAAACTAAGATTCCTAGTATCTAGGCTTACATATTTGTGTTTTGTTTGGGGACCTCGCTTTGGGTTGAATTTTGGAGAGGAACTTCCTCCTAGAATGGTAGTACAGTATGGCCTCACGGTGAAGGAAGGAAATACAAAAGACCTGGCTCTCGCCCACTGCTGTTTATTGTATGTTCACTTTTAGTCTGCGGTTTCCAGGGTGGTTTCCAGGGTGGTTTCAGAGTACAATGTACATGTACAGTACAGTAGTTCACAATATTACAGGGTTTACCAGCAGTTGGTGAGGATTTTTTTGTTTGTTTTTTGTTTGGGGGGGGGGGGGGGGGGGGGGGGGGAGGGGTCATTGTTATGATACTGATCAATACATTTAGGCATTTGCCATAGAGACTGTATTCCCATTTGGTTTACAATTCAGTATTACATTGTAGTTTGTATTGTACATGTAGTAGTACAGTATAGATTTTTAATATTTTCTATGGGATACACAATAGATGCTGAAACTCCTCTGAATTTGATTTTGATTTTGATTTTATTTTTTAAAATCTTTACCGGTACTTTAATTTTTTTCCTGATATTTAACTTTTAAAACACAATATTCCTGTCACTCTTGCACCCCTCCCTCCTCACTGGTACCCTCCAAACAAAATATAAACTTTTTAATAAAAAAAAATATCTTAACTGAGATGTCTGTCACTTTAATATACAGTGGAGGCTTGTTCAGAACTTCAGATTTGGTGCTGTAAAGTTGTAGACCGCCAAAAAAGAGCCACTACCAGGTTTTTTTTTACATGAATGGCAACTGCTCACAAAAAATAGGTCTTGTGCATATAATTCACTGAGCTCTTGTATTTGAATAAGCTACAGAAAAGTGAAGCTCATTACACTTAACATCTTCATTGCGGTTTCGCCTTAAGTGATTTTTATTTTTGTATGTATTTGTATTTGTACACATAGTTTGATAACCAAGACTACGATTCAACACATGTGACCCATTGATCCCAGGGAAGCTAAGATTTACAAATCTTTTACAAATTGTCTGATCAAAGTGCAACTACACTGTATTCTAATGATTTCGGAATAGATCTGTAAACACAATGTACTTGTACTAACTTTAAGCCTGAGGGTAAGGAAGTGATGAGACAAAGCTTTTTCAGTTTTAAAGTTTAAGAAATTTACCGACCCTCAACCTCCTCTCCTATTTGCTTTTTACATTAAAGTGGATAAAATCCCATTTTCCTGGGTGTTGATAAATGAACAGATCCATTCACATTACAGGATTTGTAAACATGCACGCGCAAAATGGTACAGTGCGAATGGGAGAGGTGCAATCAAGGATGTCGCAGAGTTGCCAATTTGTTTGTGATCGATTACAACTTTACAAATTTGTAACATTCTTATTTTCTTTTAGAAGTTCCTCAAACTTTCACTACCCTGTTTTCTAACTTTTCAACTGTTGTTAAAACCAACTTAATACCAGTGTGGACTTCCCCTATAAATTCTTTACCAATTTGAAGAATGCTGAGTTTTCCTCACATCATGTACATTGTATGTTGTAACTTGCAAGCAGTAGAATTTCCTCTGCTATTGTATTAGTCTATTACCTGTACAAATACTGTATATCAGTGTATCCTGGTAAAAAGAGGAACCATTGTCATATTGGCAAGTTGGTTGATATTGGTATTTAATCTCAACAAACTTCCCTTTACAGTGAAAGATATGTCCGATCCAAAAGGAAAAGGAAGCTTCATACTTCTTCTCACTCAATATAGACTCAGACTACATTTGTACAGTATGTAGGCCTACTCGTGACCGTGACATCCTGTTTGTATGCAGTGTTTTCAGTTTCATTTTAAGAATAAGACATTTTTTTCAATGTCATGAGGAAATGTTTCTAGTCGGTTTGA